TACGGAACCCAAATTTCCTCAGGAATCGAATGGAATAGGTTTTAAGGCTCTATCTCTCATAGTTTCCGAAATAATCGCGAAAAACGAAGTCGCCAAAAAAGATTAATTAATTTATCAGGTATAGGGTGTCGTAAGTGCAAAAACGCAATTCTGAGCCGTCCATCTGCCTATACGGAACCCAAATTTCCTCAGGAATCGAATGGAATAGGTTTTAAGGCTCTATCTCTCATAGTTTCCGAAATAATCGCGAAAAACGAAGTCGCCAAAAAAGATTAATTAATTTATCAGGTATAGGGTGTCGTAAGTGCAAAAACGCAATTCTGAGCCGTCCATCTGCCTATACGGAACCCAAATTTCCTCAGGAATCGAATGGAATAGGTTTTAAGGCTCTATCTCTCATAGTTTCCGAAATAATCGCGAAAAACGAAGTCGCCAAAAAAGATTAATTAATTTATCAGGTATAGGGTGTCGTAAGTGCAAAAACGCAATTCTGAGCCGTCCATCTGCCTATACGGAACCCAAATTTCCTCAGGAATCGAATGGAATAGGTTTTAAGGCTCTATCTCTCATAGTTTCCGAAATAATCGCGAAAAACGAAGTCGCCAAAAAAGATTAATTAATTTATCAGGTATAGGGTGTCGTAAGTGCAAAAACGCAATTCTGAGCCGTCCATCTGCCTATACGGAACCCAAATTTCCTCAGGAATCGAATGGAATAGGTTTTAAGGCTCTATCTCTCATAGTTTCCGAAATAATCGCGAAAAACGAAGTCGCCAAAAAAGATTAATTAATTTATCAGGTATAGGGTGTCGTAAGTGCAAAAACGCAATTCTGAGCCGTCCATCTGCCTATACGGAACCCAAATTTCCTCAGGAATCGAATGGAATAGGTTTTAAGGCTCTATCTCTCATAGTTTCCGAAATAATCGCGAAAAACGAAGTCGCCAAAAAAGATTAATTAATTTATCAGGTATAGGGTGTCGTAAGTGCAAAAACGCAATTCTGAGCCGTCCATCTGCCTATACGGAACCCAAATTTCCTCAGGAATCGAATGGAATAGGTTTTAAGGCTCTATCTCTCATAGTTTCCGAAATAATCGCGAAAAACGAAGTCGCCAAAAAAGATTAATTAATTTATCAGGTATAGGGTGTCGTAAGTGCAAAAACGCAATTCTGAGCCGTCCATCTGCCTATACGGAACCCAAATTTCCTCAGGAATCGAATGGAATAGGTTTTAAGGCTCTATCTCTCATAGTTTCCGAAATAATCGCGAAAAACGAAGTCGCCAAAAAAGATTAATTAATTTATCAGGTATAGGGTGTCGTAAGTGCAAAAACGCAATTCTGAGCCGTCCATCTGCCTATACGGAACCCAAATTTCCTCAGGAATCGAATGGAATAGGTTTTAAGGCTCTATCTCTCATAGTTTCCGAAATAATCGCGAAAAACGAAGTCGCCAAAAAAGATTAATTAATTTATCAGGTATAGGGTGTCGTAAGTGCAAAAACGCAATTCTGAGCCGTCCATCTGCCTATACGGAACCCAAATTTCCTCAGGAATCGAATGGAATAGGTTTTAAGGCTCTATCTCTCATAGTTTCCGAAATAATCGCGAAAAACGAAGTCGCCAAAAAAGATTAATTAATTTATCAGGTATAGGGTGTCGTAAGTGCAAAAACGCAATTCTGAGCCGTCCATCTGCCTATACGGAACCCAAATTTCCTCAGGAATCGAATGGAATAGGTTTTAAGGCTCTATCTCTCATAGTTTCCGAAATAATCGCGAAAAACGAAGTCGCCAAAAAAGATTAATTAATTTATCAGGTATAGGGTGTCGTAAGTGCAAAAACGCAATTCTGAGCCGTCCATCTGCCTATACGGAACCCAAATTTCCTCAGGAATCGAATGGAATAGGTTTTAAGGCTCTATCTCTCATAGTTTCCGAAATAATCGCGAAAAACGAAGTCGCCAAAAAAGATTAATTAATTTATCAGGTATAGGGTGTCGTAAGTGCAAAAACGCAATTCTGAGCCGTCCATCTGCCTATACGGAACCCAAATTTCCTCAGGAATCGAATGGAATAGGTTTTAAGGCTCTATCTCTCATAGTTTCCGAAATAATCGCGAAAAACGAAGTCGCCAAAAAAGATTAATTAATTTATCAGGTATAGGGTGTCGTAAGTGCAAAAACGCAATTCTGAGCCGTCCATCTGCCTATACGGAACCCAAATTTCCTCAGGAATCGAATGGAATAGGTTTTAAGGCTCTATCTCTCATAGTTTCCGAAATAATCGCGAAAAACGAAGTCGCCAAAAAAGATTAATTAATTTATCAGGTATAGGGTGTCGTAAGTGCAAAAACGCAATTCTGAGCCGTCCATCTGCCTATACGGAACCCAAATTTCCTCAGGAATCGAATGGAATAGGTTTTAAGGCTCTATCTCTCATAGTTTCCGAAATAATCGCGAAAAACGAAGTCGCCAAAAAAGATTAATTAATTTATCAGGTATAGGGTGTCGTAAGTGCAAAAACGCAATTCTGAGCCGTCCATCTGCCTATACGGAACCCAAATTTCCTCAGGAATCGAATGGAATAGGTTTTAAGGCTCTATCTCTCATAGTTTCCGAAATAATCGCGAAAAACGAAGTCGCCAAAAAAGATTAATTAATTTATCAGGTATAGGGTGTCGTAAGTGCAAAAACGCAATTCTGAGCCGTCCATCTGCCTATACGGAACCCAAATTTCCTCAGGAATCGAATGGAATAGGTTTTAAGGCTCTATCTCTCATAGTTTCCGAAATAATCGCGAAAAACGAAGTCGCCAAAAAAGATTAATTAATTTATCAGGTATAGGGTGTCGTAAGTGCAAAAACGCAATTCTGAGCCGTCCATCTGCCTATACGGAACCCAAATTTCCTCAGGAATCGAATGGAATAGGTTTTAAGGCTCTATCTCTCATAGTTTCCGAAATAATCGCGAAAAACGAAGTCGCCAAAAAAGATTAATTAATTTATCAGGTATAGGGTGTCGTAAGTGCAAAAACGCAATTCTGAGCCGTCCATCTGCCTATACGGAACCCAAATTTCCTCAGGAATCGAATGGAATAGGTTTTAAGGCTCTATCTCTCATAGTTTCCGAAATAATCGCGAAAAACGAAGTCGCCAAAAAAGATTAATTAATTTATCAGGTATAGGGTGTCGTAAGTGCAAAAACGCAATTCTGAGCCGTCCATCTGCCTATACGGAACCCAAATTTCCTCAGGAATCGAATGGAATAGGTTTTAAGGCTCTATCTCTCATAGTTTCCGAAATAATCGCGAAAAACGAAGTCGCCAAAAAAGATTAATTAATTTATCAGGTATAGGGTGTCGTAAGTGCAAAAACGCAATTCTGAGCCGTCCATCTGCCTATACGGAACCCAAATTTCCTCAGGAATCGAATGGAATAGGTTTTAAGGCTCTATCTCTCATAGTTTCCGAGATAATCGCGAAAAACGAAATCGCCAAATAGAAATAATTTAATTTATCTTGTACAGGGTGTAGGACGTGGAAAAACGCAATTCTGAGCCATCCACGTTCTTAGAGGGAGCCCAAAATTGGTTTTAAAGCTCTATCTCTCATAGTTTCCGAGATAATCGCGAAAAACGAAATCGCCAAAAAAAATTAATTTAATTTATCTAGTATGGGGTGTAGGAAGTGGAAAAACGCAGTTCTGAGCCGTCCATCTGCCTATATGGAACCCAAATTTCCTCAGGAATCGCATGGAATAGGTTTTAAGGCTCTATCTCTCATAGTTTCCGAGATAATCGCGAAAAACGAAATCGCCAAAAAGAAATCATTTAATTTATCTGGTATGGGGTGTAGGACGTGGAAAAACGCAATTCTGAGCCGTCTATCTGCCTACAGGGAATCCAAATTTTCTAAGGAATCGAATGGAATAGGGTTTAAGGCTCTATCTCTCATAGTTTCCGAGATAATCGCGAAAAACGAAATCGCAAAAAAAAAATAATTTAATTTATCTTGTATAGGGTGTAGGAAGACTCACTGAGTACAATCGATACTGTAAGAAAGACAATCGATTTATCAAACTTCGACTCCAAGTTCACACAGCTACAAATGCTCTGTGCAAAACGCATTGGCTATGCAAGGTTCTGAACCATAAACATCTGGGATTCCCAGAAAAATTGATCCAGGGATCTCTGAGGCTTACCGTTGGTAGGAATGACGCGCTCGAAAATTCAAAAACAAAATTCACGATCTCACTAGGAGCAACTGCGAAAGATTACACTGATTACAAATGATTATAGTGATTACAAGTGATTACCACTTGATTACCAAAACTTGATTACAAATATGGTAATCATGTGCTTACAATGATTACATTGATTTCACTGGGATTACAATTGATTACATCAGCGAGTGATACCACTATTACGCCTGTGAATAGCCCCTCGGTAGAACTCATCGTTGGGGTATTTAGGTGTTTCATCAATTTTGATCTCTTGACGGACCTCAAATTATCCTTAAACGTCTATCTATGGGTCTGGTTACCCTCCCACTCATAATAATTTCAGGGAGTTTGCTAGATATTATAATTGATCAACTCGATGGGATGGGATTATTTTCGTGTAGAGTCTGTACCCTCACGTTTAGTAAATTTTCGTGAACCAACACAGACTAATTCACTATTAGTCTAATTCACTCAAGTACTGAAACTCGAGTTCGCTCCGCGATTACTTAAATTGTTCTGTGATTTTTCTCAAACTGCTCTTCTCCGTACACAGACTACCGCGCGCTTGCAGTGCGAATCTTACCGCAACGTTCAATCTCGCAGATTCAGGCGGAATTTCTACTAGGGATGATTGATTCTCACCGATTCCTTTCACCTCAGGATGAAAGTCAAACAGTTGTTGATTCAGCAGGGTTCCGTAAATCCTCAGAATCTGCTTTTCAATGGGGAATGTGACGTTGATGATGTTGAATTTCGTGAGAAGGCGGTCAGTAATTGTGTTACGTCCACCACCCGGGGGACCCATTGCGGCCATCAATTGTGTCTTGTGGATGTACTTTCGAGTTTGTTTTTGACGATCGTACCTGTTGAATTCAAATGAATCTACATTCGAAAAAATTCCATACAAAGAGCTGGCGAATTTGCTAGAAAATTCTATTGGATTTCTAGTGAATTTTCTATTAGTTTTTGGTCAATCCTATTCTGAAATTCTGAAGCTTATCTGCATATTTTTGTCAATGGTAATGTTCAATGGAAAATATTCTGCAGAAAAAATCAATAGGATTTGGCTTTTGTATACAATTTTTTGAATTGAGATATTTTTTAGAGAAATTCTTTAATTCGAATTTTCTAAGGTTTTTTGTTTCATTTTTTTAAATGAAACAGGAGAAATGTGGAGTGGAAACAACTTGAAAAGATTATAATGGGGAATTCTTATGGAAAATTCAGTGTCGAATATATCATAAAAATCTCTAATATATCGCAAATGTTTCAAAAGTCTATTTCCACGTCCTAAGGCGTGCGGGCGCTCCGTGAGCCCAGTCATCTTGAATCTGACATGATTTGATGATATGTCGATAGCGGAGACTTACAACAAAAATTGTGAATCAAGCCGACTTCCGCAAATTCCACAAAACATTTAAATTTCAAACTGAACACTCAATATCAAAATAAACTTCCATTAAAAATTATTTTTCTGGAATATTCTCAATTTTTATGAAATAGTTCTTCCGAAATTAAAGTTTCCACTGACTTTCTCATTAAATTATAACAAGACCAATGGAATAAACTATTCTCCACCGACGATATTTCGATATTTAAATTTGAGTGAAAATGTCATACGTGACAATTTTCGTTATTTGACACGGCTAATTCAGACGCAAATTTTGCACTTATCACATGAAATTTCGTTTCCTTCGTCTATTTCCCCGCCCTAGAGGCGCGCGGGAGCGCTCCGTCAGATTAGTCATCTTGAGTCTGGCATGCTCTACGATTGTTCGACAGCGGAAATTCACATTTAAAAAAATGAATCAAGCCGACTTCCGCGAGTTCCACAAAATATTTAAATTTCAAACTAAACACTCAATATCAAAATAATGTTCCAGTAAAAATTATTTTTCTAGAACATTCTCAATTTTTATTAAATAATTCTCCCGAAATTAAAGTTTCCACTGGCCAATGGAATAAACTACTTTCCACTGACGACATTTCCTCACATTTGAGTAAAAACTCCACTTGTAAAAATTTTCGTGATTTGAGACGAATAATTCAGACGCAAATTTTGAATCGTAGCTGCGATTTTTGAGTGTCCCAGCGGTCTGCCCTTGCCTAATTAGTGTCCGAATCTGGAAATGTTCCAGTGATTGTTAATTTGTTCACCTCGAAATTATCACGGCCCCCACCCTTACATAGCGTTCGTATCGATCGGGCAGAAATATGTTAACAGTTGAGCGCAGTTTCAATGTGAAGCCGTGTCAGTAAACGTGGCTTTTCTTCCATTCATTCTGCATTGATTTTCGCATTTTTTTTGAGTTCTCCGCCTTTCAACCGTACTTCTGAGGATTCAGGGAATTCCATAGCATACGAGATTTGATAATCACGGTGGATGGGTATTAGCCCGCGTTATTTTTTTGCATTGTAGAATTTGGTATTTAATCAGAATATGAAAACGCTAGAAGCTGGGCGTTGTAGATGGGTGTGAAGGGTGGTGAAAACATTGATATCTTGTCTGACATCTCTGCTACAAACTCTGGCCTTCAAATCTGGGTTTCTTTGGGCTCAAATGAAAGAGCGGGTCGAGAAATGGCGTGCTAGGACCTCTAAAGATGGTGTTGAACCAGGGGAGACTCCTAGAACCCACTGGAAAATGTTGTCACAATTGCGCTTTTCAATTGAAAACAGACATCATCTTTAGAGAGATTTGTCATCTTTAAAGACTTCTGCACGCCATTTCTCGANTTTTCATTTGAGCCCAAAAAAACATTCATATCCCGAACATTCAAGCCCGAGTTGACGACCCGAGTTCGAAATTCTGTAGAAACCTCATAGAATTCCCATAGAATTCCAATAGAATTTTCTAGCAAATTCACTCGGCTTTCTGTTCAATTTTTCATGTGTGTTTTCATTGATTTTTTTCATAAAAATGTGAAATGCGTTTTTAATCCCAAAATTAAATGAAGTCAACAATTTGATACTCAGAAAAATTCTGGCAATCATAAGGATCTCGGGATTTTACCACTGACAATTATTTCAGTGAATTTACTAGAGATTATAATTGATTAACTCGATGGGCGAGGACCTCTATTGTGCAGAACCCTCGCGACAAGTTGCACAGACGATGAATACCTCGTGCATTGTTACGCTCTCACCCTCAGCGAGTGCTCAACGAATTTCAAAGGAAATGAATTCAGAGAAAAATTCAAAGATAATAAAGCTAAGGGGGAATCGAACCCGCATCCCGAGAATGCCGGTCTGCTACTCTTTCAATTAAGCTATCGGGGATCTTCGTATTTTTCGATCAAATCAGAGTCTTTTCGGAGAAGTTCTACCCCTAAGAGGTGAATTTTCAATTGAAGGATTTTGTAAATCTACAAATATTTACCCGAAAACTATGAGATTCGGAATTGTAATTTTTTCGCAATCCAGTTACCGTTTTCTTTGTTATAAATAAAAATGTTTAAAAACCATTATTTAACCGATACTGTTAGAAATTTTTGTCTGAAATTTCGGGTCCGTTTTTTGGAAATTTTTATCGAATTTAATTACCACTTAAATTTCAAGGAATTTCGTCAAGGAAAATTCAGAATTTCGTGAAAAAATCATAGAGAACTGTAAATTTCAGATGCTTTTTTTCCTGAAAATGAATAGAAGACCAGAAAATTCTGGTAAATGTATTCTTGAATTTTCAGGACAGGGACACTGAGTTTAGGGGAGATTTAGGGGAGAAAAAATCATGAAATTTCAGATTTCACTGGAAATTCAATGGAATGTGGCACTGAATATTCATATGAGATTGGAAATTCAAATAAATTAAATTTAGTGAATTTTAGTGAATTCATTAAATTAATTTTAGCCAATTTTCATTTGCCCGAAAGACACGGTAGTGTAAAATTTACCAACTGCTGTAGAATATTCGTTGTTATCAACATAAAAAATATTGGACTGGAAGGGTAAAATTTATTATGCGTCAGGATAAAATTTCTCTAACGTAGAATAAAATTTGATCATCATATATTAATTTTCACTAAATTTCGGGATAGAAATGAGGAAACTACGACTCACGATAGACTTTTATAGAACGGTAGGATAATTTTTATCAAAAATTTCCGGGTAATTGTTCGGTTTCTAACTTTTCTTTGCCCCGCGGCTCTAATAGACTCAAAAGGCCCTAGAACTGAATGTCGTTCCACGATTCCTCGATTTGTTCGGCAATTTTTTCCCAACTATTCAATTACCTCATTCGCCTATTTCCACGTCTTAAGGCGCGCGAGCGTCTAGTGAACCTAGTCATCTTGAATCTGACATGGTCTGATGATTTGTCGACAGCGGAGAATCACAAAAAAATCATCAATCAAGCCGACTTCCGCAAGTTCCACAAAGCATTTAAGTTTCAAACTGAACACTCAATATGAATATAAGCTTCCCCTAAAAATGATTTTTCTAGAACATTCTCAAGTTTTATTAAATAATTCTCCCGAAATTAAAGTTTCCACTGATGTTCTCATCAAATTATAAGAAGACCAATGGAATAAGCTACTTTCCACTGACGACATGTCCTGAAATTTGAGTGAAAATGTCATCTGTGACAATTTTCGTGATTTGACACAGATAATTTTCTCCTGACTGAGTCAATTGTCTCATTCGTCTATTGCCACGTCCCAGAGGCTTTTTTCCCCCAACTTTTGTCTCTGTGTACGGCACCGTAATTTTCTTCTCAATTTATATCAAAACATTCTCGTATTTTTTTTCCGCGCGACTAAAACTTTCTCGTGGAATTGCCCTTTTACCAAAATTGATAATCGATGAATTGCCGAATGAGTTCTAACGGAGCTTGCGAGCCATACGTATCCTTCATTGGCATGTTGAAATCATCCATGAACGCTATCATAGTTTTTCCAGCTGTCGGAATATAAGTTTGCCTCGTGCGTTTCTCCAATCGGCTCTCGATGGCTTCTTGCACGTGATTTGAAGACGTTTGGCTGGACATATTGACGGTAAGACAGCAGTATTTAGTTCTATCGAATGACTCCAGCACCGATTGTGCTATCGATGTTTTTCCCGCCCCGACAGGGCCAATGAGCAGAACCGGGTAATCTTTTTCCAATAGATTTTTCACTAGATATTCATATCTGACAGTATCCACTGTTGGAACAGTAATCTTGAAAAAAGGCATTCTGGAAAATAAAACAGAACTCGATGTTTCTGTGAAGTGGGAATTCGCTCAACTTTATCTGTAAATTCTCCCCATACTCGGATTGATAGCGCCAGGCGAGAGGCAATTTTTCTTCCCATGAGACGAAACCGCGTTGTCTGACGTCGACATAATACTCGTATACAGTATCCTTGAGGGGAAAAGCTCCCTCCATTTCCCTTATGTAGTTATCTATTCTCTGTCTTCCCACTTCGTCAACGGATCCACAGAGTGACCAGATCGCGCTGTGACATGTACATATTAGAATAGAATGGATATCAAAGAGAAAAAAATCTTGAGTAAAAATGGGTGGCTCTAAGTGCTTTGTACACTGAGGAAAAAATTACTTTTCCCGAGGAATTATTTTCTTGGGAGAAGTATTTCGAGAAATCCTTCTTTAGGTGCATCAAGAAACTCGGGGCTTGAAGATTTTCAAGAGCAAAATGCGAGGGGCTATTCGCAGGCGTAATCGTGGTGTCACTCGCTGATGTAATCAATTGTAATCCCAGTGAAGTCAATGTAATCATTGTAATCACATGAATACCATATTTGTAATCAAGTTTTGGTAATCAAGTGGTAATCATTTGTAATCACTGTAATCATTTGTAATCAGTGGAATCTTTCGTAGATGCTCCTAGTGAGAGCGTGAATTTTGTTTTTGAATTTTCGAGCGCGTCATTCCTACCAACGGTAAGTCCCAGAGATCCCTGGGTCAAATTTTCTTGGAATCCCAGATGTTTATGGTTCAGAACCTTGCATAGCCAATGCGTTTTGCACAGAGCATTTGTCCGTAGGAAATTGATTCAACAGAGTTTAAATTTCTTCTTATTCTGGAGAACCAACGACTGAATTATCTCTGAATCGTCTGCTGGTAAGTTTCATTCTCCATCAATGGTAGATATTCAGTAAATTTATTTTGCTGATAGCACTTATAAATGCGCAAATTTTTAGATGGAGTGATGGAGACTGCATTCCTCTGTTCTCATGCCCGCCCCTCCTTTCTCATTTCTTTTGCAGGTTCTAATAATTAATTATTCCATCAATTCATATTTAATAAGAGGCCATTTTTTGTGATTTCAATGATTACAGATGTTTGGTAATCACAGAATTTAATCGACGATATCATTTGTAATCATGTAATCACATTCTGTGCTCTTGGTAATCACGGTTATCACATAAGCAATGGTAATCAGTGTAATCAGGCCCGTAATCCTGGGTAATCGATTACATTTTGTAATCGCGGTGTCACCCAATTCGCCTGTGAATAGCCCCTCGGTAAAAACGTTAAAACTTACCAAAAGAGAAACCATATTTTGCACATGAGGTTAAACTCATCCCTGTTCGATGTGAGTTCTACCCCATTTTCGGGAGTTGCCAGGATTTTCAGAAGCTTGCAGAGACTTTCAACCGAATTGAGCTCGGGAACAGCAATAGTTTCAGAGCATTTAGTTCGTTTAAAAACGAGAATTTCATCCACGAAGTGGTGAAATAATTTTTCCATTTCCTCAACAAACTCCGGTGCATTTTTATAAGTTTGTAGCCACGAATTGACGAGCGGTTGCCATCCCAAATCCTTGTAGTCATTGTAAACCATTCCTGCTCGAGAAACAGTAGCAGGTGAAGCCACTGCCAAATTCTGGACCTCGAATAGCAGTGAAACTTGCTGGGGCATCGTAATGCGTTCGTTGTTGATTAGTGTCAGGATTTTATTGTCATCCATTACACTATTCATGTTTTCGATCCAAACAGCGTCAATTGGACCGTCAAAGAGTATCCACTTTTCATCCGGGCTTTCATCTGTCGGATGTGTTGAAATTGGATACACTGTTGAAGATTTTTGTTCGAAATTTTTGTCGTATTATAGTTTTAATGATATTTCAAGCAATTTTGTGACTAAAACTTCAAAATTTCATTAGAAAAGCAATGGAAACTGTAAATTTCAGTTCAATTATTCCATGAAAAATAATAGAAATCAGAAAAATTCAGGTAAATATTTTCTTGAATCTTCACTTATTTGAATATTTTGCGTAATTTGGTACTGAATATTGATATTTTGATTTAAAAAATTGGAGTAATTTGGGAAATTCTTGTCTTTCTGCTGCTAAAAAATTTGGAATTATATGGAAGTTTCAATAACATCGTTTTTTCTCTCCGATCGAATTCATTTTCACAATCTTGAAAATTACTAGTCAAATGTCCCTGCAATTTTTTTTTCTAAAAGTCTACAAGCTCAAGCTAAAAGTGTACAAGCAATGGAAACTGCAAATATCAGTTGAATTATTCCATGAAAATTAATAACAATCCGGAAAATTTAAGTAGATATTTTTTTAAATGTTCAATTATTTGAAATTTTTGCGTAATTTAATACTGAATATTTCTATTTTTATTCGGATTAAATCGTACGTTTTTTACTGCAAATCGAATTCAGCGCCACTTTTCTGAAAACTATTAGTCAAATGTCCGTGAAATTTCAATTTCTTTCCAACAGTGCACAATGAAGTGTCTCTCCAATCGTAATTTAAAAGGACATACCGTTATTTTAATTAAAAATATCATGAATTGAACAATGGCTGTCTCTCACCAGAACAAGTTTTTCGCATAATAGCGGATATGACTCCGTCGAACCATTCACCAGTTTTGAGATTATATTCACCGTACAATTCCCCCAGATTCAGTGCTTTGGGGTTGATCGGATATACGTCAACCGCTTTGAAGCCAGCCCTCCCATCTTTCTTCATCGCTGTCATGGTGTTCCGCAAAGTTTTCCATGTTACCGATTTCCCGGTATTTGATTCCCCAACAATCATTGTCGAATGTCTCGAGTTTTGTGTTTCATACAACTCAATCACCTTCGTCAGTAGGTTTGGAATGGGCTGAGCAAAAATTAAGCATCACGTTTGGAGTAGATATCACTCTACACATATCACATTTCGAGAAGACCCATCCGATAATAAAATGAATTGAAATCAAGATAATGTTCTTTTTATTTTCATTGCGACGATTCAAATCGAATGAGGAATTTCGATGATTTGTCGACCATTTATGACCCCTAGAATCATCCTGATACATTTTTGAAGACATGTTACTTCCGAGAAAGCCTTGTGATTCCTCAAATGTAAGTTTCCAATTTTTTGTGTCCGAATTTGCGATTTTTTGCCGATTATTTAATCAACGTTGAGAGGGAGACTACTATGAGTTTAAGTCGCAGACTATTTCAGTGAGATTTCTCATGCATTCATAACAATTGGTATAAAAAAATTAATTGTTTATCGTTCGTTCGGCCACTTCAATCCTTTTATTAAGCGTTGGCGTTGTCCGTTTTTTTCTCGTGGAATTCGTTTAGCTAAAAAAAAAGAAATGTCGAACGGACAGAAAAGCGTCGCCGAGTCGCGCTGCTCCGTGCGAGTGAGTCCCTGCCGACCGCTCGAGCGACAGTGTTGCTACATTCACTGTCTCCCTTGAAATGCGCGCGTAGCGGTAAGCGCCAACGCGGCAACAGCGCGCCCGGTTTAACCCAGCGGCGCTGCGCTAACCGCGCGACGGATGACGGTTGCGGCCGAGCGCGAGTGATCGAAGGTTAAGAGAAGAAATGATTGAATGCACCTGCAAGTTGGACGCGATCGCTTCTTTAGTGATATATTCCAGCATATTGCTGTAGTCTATTGTCGGCACTGTTGTAGTAGGAAAAAGGTCCGACGTGATGCCCGTAAATAAGGGAACGTCATCTGCCGTCAGCTTGGCTGCGTTCATATCTTTCATGGCGAGAATGATAACCTAAATAATATAAAAAATATTATGAACAATTTACATTGTTATTTTGACCGTAAAATATCACTTTTTGAAGCTGAAATTGAAATGAATGAAAAAAAGCCACCAGACATAAAAAATCTAGCAAAACATCTAACAAAACGTTATTTACGTTTAGTGTAGCGCGTCTGTACGTCTGTGTGTAGCGCGCGTTGAATGAAACAAAATATTTTTCAATTATTTTTTTTCCGTATACGGATTTAACGAATAAAAATCGAGCAATATCGATTACAATGCGTAAGCAAAATATTACCTCTTCGTCCAGTAAATTGGCGTGCTGGCGTCTCTTTTTACCTGCGTAACGTGTCAGTGTTACTATTCCACGGAGACCAAAATCATAGTGGTGCTGTTGACTGAGTTGCTGCTGTGCCAATGTGTATAGCGCGAATATCTACATATTCGAAGGGAACAAAGAGTTGATTTTCAGGGATATGTCACTGATTGTCTGGGATATATCACTCATTTTCAAGACTCTGATTATCAGGGATTGTTATCACTGACATTTGGCTTTCTGAAAGTCTGTGAACAGTCCCTGGAAAATAACATTCTTTTTTTTCTGCGTAGAAATCACTGATGGTCAGCACTCAAAAATAATACTTTATGTTAAGAATTCAAAGGTCGGAAAGTAAGATTTGTTAAAGTCTTAATTTGAAGGCTGCAATCCTTAAGTTGAGTCTCGAAAGTCTTAATTTACTATTTTAAAAACTCAAGTTTAGCCTTTTGAGATTTTCGAAGGTCTTAATTTGAGACTTTCTTGGACTCAACTTGATACTTTTAGATGTTTGAAGTTGACTTTCGGAACTCGACTTGAAATTTCTCTTCAAGAGAAGTTCTGAAAGTCTCAATTGGAGATTTTGGGAAGTCTCGATTTAAGATTTCGCAAAGTCTCAATTTGAGATCATGAGTCTCAAAATGAAGCGTATTTTTTCAGGCGAGTTATTCCTGATCATTGCCCAGTATCACTAAAAATTCAGCAGCGAAGTGGTCAAACAGTTCAAGTCAATTTAGTCTTCAGTTCAGTTGTCCAGAAATATTTCCGAATTTAAGGGAGATAGCGAAATTTTCACTATAACCTTTTTTGTAGAACGAATTGAGCGCTGTTAAAAAGGTTATGATAAAAATGTTGCCATCTCCCTTAAATTCCGAGATATTCATTGAAAACTGGCCAATAGCCGAAATCGACTTGAAGATTTCTAAAAATCAGTGAGAGGTCCTTAGAAATCAGTGACATACCCGCAAATGGACAAAAAATTTCCCGAGTTCTTTCCAGATAAGGAGCGAGGAAGCGCCTGCAATATTACCTTTTTGGCCAGTACTCTAGTATTTCGGAACCCCTCACCGAACAAATTGATTTCCGCGATCATACTGCTGTCCGGTCGCATCATGGATATCGGTCGAAACATTGACTTTAAGTTATCCGGGAGTTCAGTTCGACCTGCATACCCTGGATTCATTGTGATGAATATACCACAGGTAGGCTTCAGGCCAATATTGAAGCCTTCGAAGACAAATTCGGATAACTTTTGCGAAAGGGCGGATAAAATCGAGAGGATCTGTTGTGCAACAACTGATAACACCTCAACATTGATTCTGCGAATGGGAGAATAAATATGAGGAGAAATTAACTGGTGCACTTCCGATGGAATTCATATTATGAATATTATTTCACTAAGCACAACCTGTTGAACTCGTCGAAGCAGCCCCAAGCGCCGGTCTGCGCTAAACCAGAGAATAGTCTCCCCATGCTTTTGTAGTCAAGGCCCTCTGAGCAATTTTGAACAATCACATTGAAGCCCAGCGCTTTACCAAGATCCTTCACAGTTTCTGTTTTTCCAGTACCAGCTGGTCCTTTCGGACTGCCACCGCGATAGAGATGGAGGGCCGTTGTTAATGTGATGTAGCACCTAGATGGATATCGGAATTTTTTCATTGTTCGTTATAATTGGGATGATTTAATTTAAGTGGGCACCCCCGGAAACTTTTATCTGCTCGAAAACATTTTTAAGTTCTTATACTCAACTTATATTGAGTTTATTTGGTACTTTTGAAAAGAACCAGCCAGGTACTCAGTACAAGTAATTTTTTTACTTGTCCCAAGTAACAAGAGTACTTGTGACAAGTACTGAGGTACTTCTCACCAGTAGACAGGTACTTGACGCATGATTCTTGCATCAAGTTGTTTTGTAACTTTCAGGAAGTACAAAAATGTGCCTTTTCTCCCAGAAACCCCTTGGTACTGGCTACAAGTCCTTTTTCTAGTGATCAAAAGTAATTTTTTTTGGGTGTACGATCGTCGTGCGTGAGATATTTGGTGCAAGAAATTAGTCTAATAGTTTTGTGATATTATGACGATATTTCTCTCAGTGCAACAAATTCGCTGGGATTTTTTCCATAAAATTTTTTCGTGCGCGAATTTCACGAGTATGTGGGAAATATCTGTTAAATGAAGAGACAACAGACGGGAAAGACAGGAAAAATAAAAATTCATTTCAAATATTCTAGATAAATGAAAAATTTCCTTTATCGAGGCTCTGAATATTCAATACGGCTCATGCATCCATTGAATATACCCTTTGAAAAATGCAACATGGATATTCAGCGTCCCATGAAAAATGGTTTCCATTTTCCGATTTTCGAGGTAATTTTCATCCAACTCTTCCCTCCGCGTAAATAATTTGGTCAATTATGATTCGTTTATTCATGTTTCATACACGGAGAGGAATTGTTGATAAAAATTATCCTACCATTCTATAAAAGTGTATCGTAAGTCATTGTTTCCTCATTTCTATCTCGAAATTTAGTAAAAATTAATATATGATGATCAAATTTTATTCTACGTAAGAGAAATTTTATCCTGATAAAAATAAAAATTACCGTGCCGGTAGAGTAAAAATTACTGTACCGGTAGTGTAAAATTTATTATGCGTCAGGATAAAATGTCTGTAACGTAGAATAAAATTCTGTCGTCATATATTAACGTTCACTAAATTTCGGGAAAGAAATGAGGAAACGACGACTCATGATACAATTTCATAGAACGGTAGGATAATTTTTATCAAAACATTCAATTCTCACTCGTTTGTTAGGCAAGCTTCATGAAAATTCGACGCAGGACGATTGGACTCATGAGAACCCCCTTACTCTCTCCACTCGCTCGAGATATCCTATCACCATTGATGCCCATTAATCACTGAATATCGTCGCGAGAGCGGTGGCATAAATCTGTTCCCAAAACAGCACCCCTGAACTTTATACGATTCTTTATTCCATGAAGCGAGCCATTCTCAAGAAAAGAATCTAGAGGGATTGGCAATCCACTAAGTGAATGTCCGATAAAGCTCGATACTAAAGACTATGCAAAACTCTCAATCGCGTTTTCGTGAAACAAATTGTCCCGTCGCATGCACCCGTCTGAATTTATGGTCCGCACTAGTAAACCAATAAATTAGAGTAGAGTTCAAGCATTTTTCGCCTTTTATCGGGATTAAATCGATACTCAGTGAATATGAGACTTTTCGCCAATTTTTTTATTCGTACAACAATCCGAATACCGATCAGTCAGCGGGGTGATAACTAAACGCTCAGTATTGCCAAGGTATTCGTAGCCGTATCTGAAGTGAGTGTTGGTTTGCCTGACCACACAGTCATCAATATCCCTATCCCAGTAGAATCGTAACTGAGATAGCCACTCAAACGCTGACACATCTTTACAACCTGGAACAAAAAAGCTGTGATTGTTATTGACCCACGGAACACGGAGAATATAGGAGCTGGTGGCGATATGGGCGTGAAGATCAACTAACCGTTCTTGTACATCTTCTCGATCACGTCACGTGCATGAATTTCGATGACCACAATTGCTTTGTACTTTATACGCTGCAGCCGATCGAGATTACGGCGAAGGGCGTCGGAGTATAAGACTAGGGCTTGATTTTGCTTGGCTTTCAATTTTTTCAGCGGTTTCTTCGAGTCCATAAGTCTGTTGCATCGGGGGAAATTAGATAGTCGTGTGGAACGTACATTGAGAGAATAACAGCCTTACTTGCGCCAAAAAAATCATTCGGTTAAAATTATTAAAGAAGGATTTTGTGTGTTAAACATGCGAAGCGTGTGCGGAGATTGAAAGTTTTTATTGCAAAAATATATTGAGTCTTTTTACAAAAATTTTCATCCGAAATTTTTCAATTGTTTTAAGAATTTTTTTGTTACAAATGAATAAACTTGTTTACTTGTTTCAAGAAAAAGGATATAGTTGTATTAAACAAACAATTTATTTATTTCAAATGAATGTTTTTTTTAAATCGAATTGCCAATTTATTTATTTTAAATCGACAGTGTCGAGAAAGGCGCTAAAATATAAAAAACGAAACGGACTGTACCGCGCTCGTCGAGCGAGTGATCGAGGGTTAAGAATGTTTAGCCAAAACCCACAGTATTCACCATAATTTTGATATTGTCTCATATGTCAGGTTTATATTTGAGTCACACGTTAGTAATAATCTTAATCCTTCCATCGGGGCATCCTAGTGAGAAATTAATTTCTGAAAATCACTTCTTGTAACATTACGCTTAGGGAGGAAACGTGACCGTGTGAACTTTGATCGAGATGTTGCATGGGTTAGACACTCAAGATATTGAAAAAAAACCACAAGCCATTTACTTTAGACTATGGAGAATCTATCGCCGGCGAGAACAAGTAGGGGACCGGGCCATATAGGCGTGATATCTTCGATTGATTTTCGAATTCCTCTAAAAAAAAATTGACCGCCATTACGAGTCGAGCAACGCGACAACACCGCACAACAGCTGATCGAGGTCGGTAAAGTCGGTGACGATAATTCAGTGCTGGAAGCATATGGACACGTATAACACACACAAACATTCATCTCACTGTTACAACCCCACTACTAGCCGAAGCGTGCGGTGTTGCCCGATCAAAGTTCGACTGTTACCACTGCAGCCATAAGTTCTCCATTATCTATGAACATTTTCTTTAATTATTGTTTTTGAGACCGGAAAAGTACGCCATAACACTTCTAATTTGATGGGAAAAATAATTTGTAACATGAATGATTTATTTAGTCAATTTTATTTTTATTTTCCACTGAGTGTTCCACTCGATAGGTTAAACATCCTTAAGTCGATTTTGACTATTGGTCAGTTTTCTATGAATACCTCTGGATCCAACGCAGATCGCAAATTTTTGTCATACCCTTTTTTGTAGATCTTAATCCGCTCTACAAAAAAGGTTATTACAAAAATATCTCTGTCTCGAGTCAATTCAAATTGTTTTACCGCTTCGCTACTGAATTGTCAAAGCAGTCTCACTAATTTTCAGAGATCCGTCTTCAATTTTTCGGAGCCTATCACCAAATTTCAATGATATAATAAAAATCACCGACAGGGATCGGCATCAATCATTATTTTAGTAAAATTAACAGAATTTTTCCCTTAAAATAATTGAAATCATTCATTTATCATTAAAATTTAAAAAATAGTAAAATAACTGATAATTTAAATTTTCAAATAACTATCAAGTAAATAATTGGAAATTTCCTAAAAAGTATTAGAAATTATCCAAATAATCGTCAACCTTCCGAATTCGATTATTGATTGGTAAAATAATTCGGAATTTGAATATTTAATTGCTGATTAATTTAATAATTGAAAAATTGTCAAGTTCTATTACTTGCTTGAGTATTTATGAAATTAATTCCAATTATAATTTATGAATATGCCTATCTCTGATCACCGATGATCATGATCACTCTAGTCACTATCCACTATCACTGATAATCGGTGACACACTCCAAAAATCAGTGACGAGTCCCTGGAAATCAAAACTCTCTTTTCTCCATAAATTTTCTATGCGTTCAGCATTTTCTAGTGCAGTTGGGATCACTTGGGCGGCCCTGTTCTTGATCTCTTCCATCTTCTCGTATGCCGCACTTGAGAAATCTCTCAAGAAAACGGTAATAAACCGCAGAGAAGACCACTTTAACGGGTGATATAAATTTTGGAGCTAGATACAGGGACTAGATATTAAGAATAACTACCGTTTATAAGAGTATAATTTAAAACGCCATTGTATTTCCAATTCAACATAGAATGTTGCAACGGCTGCGTAAATGGAGTCATCGCGTAAATAACAATGTCTTGCCAAAAATTTCTTCCGAGGTGCATTTAATCCCCAGGGATAAAATGTTTTTAAAAAATATTTTCCATGAACTATAAATGGGTTCAAATAAAATAAATAAATGGGCTCGTTCAACTAGCTTGTAACGAAGCTCTTGTTCAATCTCGAAATTGATTTTTATTTGCGTTTTCGTCGATATCTAATGCACAGTTTTTGTAAAATAAACAAATGATTCTGTTATTCAAATGAAGACTGCTAATTAGGAACTAAATCATTGTTCAGACAGCAAAGGGAACGAATAAGAGAATTAATTCGCAGTTAATGAATCGCCTGAAGCCCCCGATTCTGCCATATTCAGAGGCATCAGTTGCAATTTCTGCCACTCGCATGAACCCATTTTCTGCCGATTTCCTCAGATAAATGGAATTAGTAAATAAAAGATAACAGGTTAGATTATTTGCAGCTTAATGAAAAAATGAAGGAGAATAATGCGAAAGAATTATATTTGTCGACACGATAGACGAGAATGTATTCGAACAAAAAAATTCATAGAATGAGATTAATAAATAGATTAATTCTCATATTCGAATTTTTACTCTATTTGATAGAAAAATATTCTATTCTATACAAAAAGTCAAATAGAATTCGATTTCTTTATACAACTTATTCTGGTGAGATATTTTCTATAGAATTTCCTTTCGAGAAAAAACAAAAAAACTTGGAAAATTTGAGTCGAGGAAATTCTACAGAATAGTGCACGAGTCGGAGGCGAGTGAGGCCAGGGGGGCGAAGCCCCCCCCGTTGGGGGGCGACGCCCCCCTCCCCACAGCAGAAAAACCAAATTATCACTGAATGAAAAATAATAATTTTTCAAACTCCATAATCAATTTTATTTGAATGGGAAAAAACTCTTTGACAACTTATAATTTTTGATCGAAGAAAAGCCCAGCTATTCCAAAAATAAAAGATTATCTTTGAAATACAATCATTTCTTTTTCAACACGATTCACTTGATTTGAACGACAAAAGACTATCTTCCACAACTTTCATAAAATTCTTCTTTCAATTTGCAGTAATAAACTGTAATTTACCAAAAAATACTCTTTGGTAACCAACGATAACGTCATAATCCGCAATTTATAGCACGCAAAACAAAGCAATAATTCTTTACTAAAAAAAAATTATTATATTTTACTGACCAGAATTATTGCTATTTCAAATAATTGATTTTTCAGTTTGATAACCATTACATTTCATCATCATTACTATTATTATTCACATTGTGAATCAATTCACCGATTTTTTCAATCAAATGTTTCCATACACATTCTCTCTTTCGCCCCCAATTTTTCCCGGCAACATTTCACCCGCAGAATTAGTGGATCTGCCTAGTTACATAATTTTTTCTCACCATTGGCAGTAAAAAATACTTTATCTTATATTCCATCCAGGGATGTGACAGGGATTCAACTCAAAATATTCACGGCTATGGTTAGTATATGCAAACGAGTAAGAGAGGTGCAAAAGTGAGAGTGAGATAGAACGGACGTGAGCGTGGAGTATGCAAAATTCTTCTTATTAGAGTAACCACGTCTGGCTTGCTTAAATCATCACCATCGCTCTATCTCTCATCTCAGTATTCTATCGTTGAATTTTATGGTGCTATACTCACTTGGAACGTAGAAGTGCTTTGGTACAGTCACTCGTCCACTGTATCTGAGTGGACGTTATTCCTGGCTGACTCGGCCACTCCTTCACCCACTTGTCTCGTTTACCCAAGATTTTTCGAAGCGCTACACGACAGTGTCGCAGAACATGCCTGAGGCAGTCTCGCATTCTCGTTTCTGGAACGAAAAAGACGTAATCTTGTTTCCTTCGGGAATGAGCTCTCGTTCAAGATCGAACCAAATTTACGGAGGGGGAGACAAAATAAAGAACGAGCCGAGAAGAGTGAAAAAAAAGGGAGGATGATTCCGTGAAAGGGAAAGAATGCATTTACTCTTGTGCTTTTTTTTGTATCGAGAGATACAAAAGCTCAGTATTTGAGCGGGCGATCGAAATGAATCACTGAGAAACAAGAGAATAGTCAGGCGCTCGGGAGAAAAGTAAAATCACGTTCCACTTACCCACTTGACAAAGCCAACACTCCACCTGTCCTTCCAATATTACTGGCTCGAGGAATTCTACGTATTCACTCTCAGCAGACAGCATTCCCTCTGCTAGGTGTCTGCCTGCTACTGACTGTAAACGAAATGATTAAATCGCGCTATGGATGGATTGGCAATCAATTAAGGGACACTACTATGAGGAATTTAAATAGTTAGAAATTTTTTGAAGGTGTTACAGTAAAGCTCATGAGAGTGACATTGAATTGGATTTAGGGAAAAAATGGTTATGAAATTTCAAGTTTTACGCAGAATTCACAGAAATTCATGAGTGTCCGGTGGGAGTGAGATGGAAATTTCACAACTTGATTGAATTTTGTGGAACATGAATATTCAAAAGTAAAATGCCACGAATTTTCAGTTTTTCCCTGAATTTTCCGAATTTTTCTAACACCTAAAACTAATTACTTTTGATCAGTAGAAAAAGTACTTGCACCCAGTACCAACGGGTTTCTGGGGAAAAGGCACATTTTTGTTTTTCCTCGAAGTTACAAAACAACTTGATGCAAGTGTCATGCGTCAAGTACCTGTGTACTGGTGAGAAGTGCCTCAGTACTTGTCACAAGTATTTTGTTACTTGGTACAAGTAAAAAAATTACTTGTACTGAGTACCTGGCTGGATCTTTCCAAAAGTACCAAATAAACTCCATATAAGTTGAGTTTAAGAATTCAAAAATGTTTTTCCAGCTCTTCTAAAAACCGAATTTCGTCAACAATTCAATAATTCAAATAATTCCCTTTTTGCGAGTAATAAAATGGAAAGAAATTGAAAACAATTTTTCGAAGCCTTTTAAATGTTGATAACAACATAAAACGTAGAAACCTCAACAAAACTTAAATTTTGCAGGGTGGAAAACACCAATAATTCTCGAAAGCATCCATAAAAATCGCAATCTATTGGTTTTTCCCTCCAAAATATCTTCTGCTGAACATTTCTATTTACAAAAATGCGTAAGAAAGCCCTTTCTATCCGGTAATGATATTCACTTTTCTCAATAAAGTAATCAATTGGAAGTACTGAAATTAAGTCCTAAAAGTACTTGAGAGAAGTTGAAAAATTACTTTTGTATAGTAATTTTTGTATAGTAATTGTAAGTTCTAATTACTTTTATTACTTTTAGTGATACTACTTCCTCCCAGTGCCATTTCTACTCGATCGGCAGATGTGGTACTTCACCCAAGGACACAAAATGTAGTTCGGACGAGAATTTTTCGAACTTTTCAAAAGTGAACTTCCCCAAAGTACCGGTCGGTACTGGTGAGAAATACTTTTTTTTCGGTGGAATTTTCACAGAACAATTGAACTGAAAAATCAAGTATTTTATCGATTTCCAGATCATTTGAACAGAAAATCAATGAAATATTTGATTTTTCAATGACAAGGTTTCCCGAAATTTCAGTGGAACTTGAAATTTTTAATTTTTAATTTTTAATAGTGACGCCTCCCCTTAACTTCTCTTGAGTGATACGTACCTTTGATAATTTCAAATACTTTATGTTGTCGAATAACTTCTTTATGTGAGGTTGAATGAGATCGGGGTATTTTGAATTTGCCAGAATTTCCAGCAAATCCTCGTTGGAGATGAAGTAGAAGCGCGGAAATGCGTGTCTTTTTGTTTCTAGGTATCTCTCCAAGGCATGCTCAATGGACTCAAGTTTGAGACTCGATTTTTTCAATATCTTGAGGAGATTTTCTGAGATGGAAAAGACATGATTGTGAAGTAATTATTTATGCTGTGAGAAGAAATGGTGGTTGAGCAGTGAATCTCTGCTTTAATCGAGAGACTTGTAGCATAAATATCTTCAGGAGTAAAGTATCTCATGATGAGAAATTAGTTTGTAGCAAGAAAGCGACTTCTCCAACCAAGGGAAGTGGTTTTTGAGTGAAAATATTCCGAGTTTCAGACTGCGAAACTAGTTTTCATTGATTCTAAGAGAATTTCTGATGAGAAATACATTTTTTTTTATAAGAAAATTAAAAACATTTTTTTAAAGAATTTTTTTTTCAAAAATACCGTTTTTTCGATAAAACGATTTGAAAAAAAAATAAAATTTAATACATTGCGTTCATAAGAGCTATATACTTTCACCTTCAACCCAGTAATTCCGGAAATGTATCGAATTTCCTAATTTTTTTCGCTTTTCTTTCAATAGTTTTACTAGAAAAAATCTTAAGAGAAAAATTCAAACAGGAATTGGAATCTGCGCAAATAACAATAGAATTTCAACGAGAATTCTCCAGAATTTTAATAGAATCCCCATAACATTTCTAAAGAATTCCAATAGAATTTTCTAGCGAATTTGTTAAGGTTTTCTATAGGATTTTGTCATACGTGAAGAGCCGTGTAGTTTAATGTCATTTTGAAACCCAGAACCTTTTCTTCTCTTCCTCAGTTGAAGAGATTTCACTCTTCAAAATTTTCCAGCCATAAGTTCCTTGATTGCAGCAGATACGCGTTTCTCAAAGAAAAATAGGTCTCAGTATATGATAATCTTCTTTACCAGGCTGGAGACAAGCCTCGAGAACTCCCCTCGCGTGCGCCATACGAGAAGTGATGGTTTTCCATGTTGCAGTAGATTTGTCAAAGTCATCGGTTTCCTTTGGTAGCTGTTTCCTTATGTCTTCTGAGTTGAAAATGCTATCCAAATAGGTGAACTGTTTTTGCACTAGGAGGACAGTCTCAATTACTTCGCCAACAGTTGACAAAGATTTTTCCCAGTAATCAACTTCCATTGTGAATGGCTCAACAAAGCTGGACGGAGACAAAAGTTGGAGAAAAATCACTAAACAAATCGACTAATCGTGGAGCGAATTCCAGTTCTGGAGGGGCTATTCCCAGGCGTAATCGTGGTGTCACTCGCTGATGTAATTAATTGTAATCCCAGCGAAATCAATGTAATCATTGTAATCACATGATTACCATATTTGTAATCAAGTTTTGGTAATCAAGTGGTAATCATTTGTAATCACTGTAATCATTTGTAATCAGTGTAATCTTTCGTAGTTGCTCCTAGTGAGACCGTGAATTTTGTTTTTGAATTTTCGAGCGCGTCAGTTCTACCAACAGTAAGTCTCAGAGATCCCTGGATCAATTTTTCTTGGAATCCCAGATGTTTATGGTTCAGAACCTTGCATAGCCAATGCGTTTTGCACAGAGCATTTGTCCGTAGAAAATTGATTCAACAGAGTTAAAATTTCTTATTCTGGAGAACCAACGACTGAATTATCTCTGAATTATCTCCTGGTAAGTTTCATTCCCCGTCAATGGTAGATATTCAGTAAATTTATTTTGCTGATAGCACTTATAAATGCCCAAATTTTTAGATGGAGTGATGGAGACCGCATTCCTCTGTTCTAATCCCCGCCCCTCCTTCCTCATTTCTTTGCAGGTTCTAATAATTAATTATTCCATCAATTCATATTCAATAAGAGGCCATTTTTTGTGATTTCAATGATTACAGATGTTTGGTAATCACAGAATGTAATCGACGAAATCATTTGTAATCATGTAATTCTGTGCTCTTGGTAATCACGGTTATCACATAGGCAATGGTAATCAGTGTAATCAGTCCCGTAATCCTGGGTAATCGATTACATTTTGTAATCGCGGTGTCACCCAATTCGGCTGTGAATAGCCCCTCGAAAATTATTCCCGAAATCGCAGGAAATCATCCCATTTTGAAAATCACTGAGCCACCCGATTCGTAACCCCGAGCTGAAATCTCAGATAGTATTTTACTTACCTTGTTGACTTCATGGCGGACAGCTGAACTAGATGTTCCTCCAAGGTCTGAACTACTTCGTCTACCGATCGCAGTGTGAAAATCCCTCGATTTTTGTACGGTGACATTTCGAGGGTCCGGCATTCCCAGGAGGTAGAGATGTTCTTTAAACCCTTTTAATTTGATCAACAGAACAAGTCAATAGAAAATCAAACTTGTTCATTAATTTGATTAAAGCCAAATTCACCAATTCAATGATATTACGTTAACTTCTCACGAACGAATGATGAAAATATCTTGCCCTTTCTCTCACTATATAACTCGCGATCGATTGAATATTGTGTAAAATTGTCATAGCAATTGTTCAGTTATTTAGACAGAATTTTCATTATTTTTCCTGTTGTCCGCACGCAATTGAACCACTTCTAATTAATTAACTAACTATTAACTGATTATTATTATTAATATTATCAATTAATAATATTATTAATAATGATATTACGATTAATTATTAATTATTGTTATTAATTGATCAACTACTAATTAATTAATATAACCCCTGCTAATTATGTTAACAATGCACTATTTTTTACCATTTCTATCATCAATTCCATAGACGCAGCATTCGAAATGTCATTAATCTGTTCGGCAAAGTCATACATTTGCATTTCCAAAATAGCGTGGAGCGTGAAATCCTCCGAATCTTGTTCAAAATCGTGATTAACTATTGATTTAACTTTAGCCCAATGACGATCGCGCATCGCCGAATTTTTCAGATCATTCATTAATGGAAGAGTTCTGCGGAATCTATCGACTCGCAATCGAGACTGCTCCGCAATTTTCCAGCCTCTCTCCTTAAATTCTCGCGAGAGTTTCGTGAATTTGCGAAATAGATTATTGGCGACCGTCTCTATTTCCTCGATTTCGAGGGTCCAGAAATTGCTCGTCTCGTAATGTACCCAGATATCGTCCCATTCTTTTGTCAATTGCCAGGCTATCTCAATTGCTGATAGATCCTGAAACATGGAGTAGACACTACTGTAATAATTGTTCAGCAATTATTTTTTGTCATTCCTGGGGAATTTAGTACCATTTCTACTTTGGCAATTTCCCGTGAGTCGGGCAAAATGACGCCAAATATCTTGAGGTTCTCGTTCAACTCATGCCCTGTATGCTTCAGTTGTTCAACCTGGCATCGAAAGTCTTCCAACCAAGCAAGAGCATCTGTGCAATAAAAATACGTCGACACCCGACGAAATAGATATAGGTACACCAAAATAATGACACTTCATTTTAAGATTTCAAAGGCTTAATTTGAACCCTGAAATTCTCAAGTTGAGAGTTTCGACAGTATCCTGCCATAAAAAAATATATAAACCATATATTTTATCTATTTTTTTACATAAGAATAATAATTAAATTAACAATAAAAACGCAAAATTGTTAAATATATGTTTAACAATTAAACATATATTTTATATATTTTTTTTATATAAATTGGGCCAATTTGAAATATTTTTTATATATTTTTTTAAATATAATTTTTTCCGTCCGCGTCGATTTCAGATTTCGCAAAGTCTGACCTTAAAGCTGTTAAAAGTCTCAATTTGAAACTGTTAAATCTCAAATGTCTGGCGAATATGACTTTGCAGTCAACAATCCATAAAAAAATATCAGTTGAGACACGATCAATGTCCTCAAGGCGATACATGAGAAAATCGTAATTCAGGAAAACCATACTATTTACATTAGCAGACAAGACATGTCGGAACAAAGACGTAATAACAGAGTGGATTAAGCGCACCTGTAGTTCTCCAAACAGAATCAAATGGTCCATTATCGTGAAATTTCGCTAGTAATCCAGTTGCATCTGCCGTGAATGTTGCGGCTTCCTCCAAGAGTTTATTCTTGAACAACTCCTACAGAAAGCAAAAATTAATGACTATTTTTTCTGTCTCCACCCGGAGAAATTATGAAGACTCTTCACACTCTCCTGAACTTTGCCGGGTCAGGACTAAAAATTTTGCGAGCACAAAATTTTTTTAAAAATTTCTAAATTTCTAAACTTTTTCCGTTTTCACTCCGTTCTGGATAGCCCGTCGCTTAAATAGTTGGATTCGATTTTGGCAAAAGTCGACTTTCCCCCTGGAAAAACCGAAAATCTGACCCTTTGGCGCCGGGTGAAAAAAAAATTTTCATTTCGACATTTGTCGCGCCTTCGGGGGTTTCATTTGCATCAGAATCGTTAGAAAGTACAGAATCAACCTTCACTTCCTGAAAAAATTCAGTTTTTGCGAAAATCGACTTTCACCCTGACCCTTGACCCACGTGAAAATGAAATTTTTTTTCGTCTTTTCTCTCACCTCGGAGGGTTTCATTTGTATCAGGCGGTCAATAAATACAGAATCAACGTTCACTATTTTTTATTTAAACACCATCTGCAAACGGGGGGATGAGGATGGCTAAAATATATTCTGCAACCCAGTCTCCTCGTTGGCTACAAATTTCAACCCTCCGCATACATGCCTTCCCCTCCACCCCCTTGTAAAATCCCGCGGCCTCGGTAGCATAGAGGAGGACTTCTCAGGACCGAAAAGAGCTGAGGATTCGAAAGGTCTCCGGAAAAGTACGTCGCAGGACTAGTCAGGACTTACCAGGTCAATCTAGCTCTGGAGAGATCTTGAAAGACCTGCGTACGTCCAATCAGAACCAAATCCTCGACTCGGGAATCTTCAAGTATTCATTGCTGTCATGAATTTTTAATGCACCTCCAATGTTTCGATGCATATAATAATATATTTATGACGTAACACCTTTGTTTTTCATTAATCACTTTAACAAAAAATGTGGCTCTTGTTATGGTTTGCAAAAGCGGATAATTTACAGAGATATCTACTCTCGGATGTGTTCCAAAGACGACGGACGAAGCGGTGTGTGAGTCACGACGGACGAAATGGGGTGTGAATATTGAAATTCGCGGACGAAAAATATTCACATGAGAAAGAGAAGTGAAACATCGGCTTTCGCATGTGAAAGTGTCTTCACCCAACTCGAGAATAGCCCCCCAGAGGGTTAAACTTGCAACATCGAACAGGCATGTTGTCATCATTCTCGATATGAAAGGTTATGAAAAGTGGACATTTTACCTTATTTTCTTCAATTGTAACCTCGGAGGTAGAAAGCAACGTGAGATATTGTGCCCAATATCTTGTCACACCGTGCATCCTTCTTTTGAATTCCAGCGTCATGGGAATTTCATATTTCACTAGGCATTTCACAAAGACCAAGTTATAGAACAGTGAATATGATGAGATAATGTGTTAATGAGCTTGATAATACATAGCGAAACTCCAGCAATCACTCGGGGACTTTGCATCTGTAATTCCTCCGGGCAATGCCATCGATTGCTACTCTTTAATTCCCCTCAGGGATTTACCTAGTGTCTGGTACTGTTCCTGGAGCTTGGGGAATTCTTCTTCCTTGGGATGAATTTCTGTTTTCAGTCTGTCGAGAAGGCGTAACATAGCTTGCATCTCCGCGAGATTCCTCGGCTCTGTTTTCACTCTAAGAAATTGGAAAGATGTCGATGGGTATACCTTACGGCGAGAGTATTTCATTTTCCGTTTTGCTCTAATTACATTAGCGTAATACGTAAACAGACCCGTAGGGCAGGATAACGATCAAAATGAACATAATTTTTGCTGTCTGCATGGTGTCCCAAAACAGATCAGTGAGGGTAGCTCAGGGGGTTACTTGGAGACGAAAACTGACATGAAATTTTGTCTCAGACGCTTTGTTTACGAGTTATCAAGAAAAAATGACAGCCAGAGAGATCATACGCCCTTTCCCATTCAAGGCGGAGGGATGATGGCATTAAATGCCCAATCGATTGCCATCACGTCCATTTTTGAAGGCGATTTCCGGTAGATTTTTGTTTTGTTGATGAATGAAATCTTAACAAATCGCTCGAGAAAAAAATTTTCGTCTCCAAATAACCCTCCTAGGCTACCCTCAGGATATGTCGAAGCTCAAAGTAGCTTCAAAGCTGGTGGCAAAAATTTGTCACACTCATGAGTGATTCTATCATCTCGCAGTCGTCTATTCTCCCGCCGGAGCGCGCCGTCAGAATAGCACTTATTTGAAACAGTCCTTATTTGAAAGGCACATATTGATACTGTAGTAGGATGTTACCGAATTGAAAACCAGTTTTTATTTTTTCATCACTAACAGGTCCTTTTCATTTGAGATTAAAAAATTATGGACGATGGCGATTTTATAAAAATTGGAAATCATAAATTCTGTTTAACGTGACGTTTCGTCGATTCATTGACACCGATTATTGTTTCATTTCAACAGCGTTAATGTTTTTCAAAGAGGAAGATTGATGTTCACTCTAGAATTTCATTGAATTGGCATTGTTACAGCTAAATAATGCTTGATCACTATCTCAATAGAATTCAATTTTCATATGCTAGAATTCAATTTTTGTGTGCGAGACATTGAAGGTGTTGATCGTGCGATCAAAGCCCTCGAGTAATTCAGATATTTTCTATTTACTTCTCTGAATTTTCTGCTATATATTTATACAATCCATCGAGCGTCATCTGAGTTATGTGGAGGAGGAGGCGTGTCAGTTTTTGCTGCCATAGCGAACAGTGTTTTATAATAGCAGCCTTCAGACGATCGGAATTGATATCGAGAAAATGTACGGTAGTCACTGTTTCCTGCATTTTCACATTATTTGCAACTTCAGTGTATCGTCCGATGTCAGCGTCAAATGAAGCTACTGTAGGATTGAGTTTTTCGTATCTGTAATGACATTTTAAATTGAAAGCCGTCGAATTGGATTCGAGGGGAATTATCCTCATTAAATGTGCATGACAAGAAGAGAACCTCGTTATGAACATATCTCTGTTCACTTCCCATATGTCTGCGAAAGATTCCCAAGACTTCAGATACTGCTGAATGTGTTGGGTACAATATGATACTTCGTTGTTTAGTTTTTCTTGAAGCTTATGAAAATGTTGGTCTTGAGTCAGAGTTTCATGGAGATCTTTCATGTCGTTTCCAGAAAAAGAGAACAAGTCTCTCAGTCTTGGCATATTTCTCTTTAGAGGTTCTAGAAGATGACTAGTCATATCTCCGATCATCTCCGTTATTTCGTACAGGGAAGGTACGAAATTAATCTGCAAAATAGCAATTAGCTGGTACATTCTTTCGAGTTTGACCCGGATGTGAGCTGATAACGAAGAGTCATTTTGCATATCATTTTCTTCTACGGTATATAATTAATTGTTTATTTTATGTTATTAAATTGAATGAGATTCATTTTTAAACAATTGTATTAGCTTTTCAACTTAGCTGAATGCTATCATTCTTATTATCCCTTTCTTTCACACAATCGATTGTGTTTTTTGCGGTCCTATCACTCCCCTCGCCCCTTTGTTGCGTCATGGGCTATGTGGCATTTACTTCAGGAGCTATATTTCCTATTCACGTTTCGGTGTTTATATTTTCGTTCAACGCTCTCCCAGTTATTGAAATTGGTTTTATCGGCTCTGCATTCCACAGGTTTGTCGTCTACATACACCGGGTTTAGGCCATTGTTGTCGATTATTATTAATATATGATGGAGAATTCGAAATTTGCAAAAATCATCGTAAAAATAAAATCAACAGATATAGCTGTTGTAATTATCGTTCAACTTCGATAGTATAAAATTGAAACTAACATTTTAAACTATAATTGAATTCAATTGAAGCATCATATCTCGAGATATCCCCGGAATTCCGATTTTCCAAAAACACAAAAATTTTGCGAATTTTTGTATAAATCAAAATAATTATTATTGCTGTCGCCTTCATCTTCGGACTCGATCAAAAGAGCATCCAAACAATTTTTTTAAGCCATCATTCAATCAATTCAGAATATTTTTTTTAGTTATCGTGGGACAGCCGATTTTTTGAAAAATTTGAAAATTAAAACAATTATTATTCTCTTTTGGGTAATTGGAAAATAATTAATATGGATAGAAAAAGTGACAACGTTGTGCCGTGCCTTCCCATAGTGAGATGTATCGTTACAACTCCATTCGTATTTGCCGCGCTTACCCTCCACGATTCCTAACCTCGACGTTGTCATTCCAAGTTGCACACGCAGAGTTCCGATTTTTCCTGAGTTTTTTAATTATCTCTTCTAAACAATTCTCCTAGGCCACGATGATTTTTTTTTTTATGTTCCGCCATGAAAGCTTCACCCAACTGCAAAATTTCAGGAATATGGCAACTTTTTTTCGATTTTTAATATTTTTTTCCCGAATTCTCATAAGAGCCCGTGTTAAAAAGCATTTTTCAGAAAAAATTCTGTTTCAATTTATGTGAACACCTCATAAGTAAAATTTCACTTGTCAGTAAACATTGTATTGCTACAATGTACTTGCGTTATCAGCTCTTACATCCGAATTCTAGACTTTCCAAGAGATCATACGATGAATGTAGAGAATGAGATACTAGTGATAACTGACTTTCTTATCAATGAGGTCAGCCTCAATATGGAAAACCGGAGATGTTCCAGTCGTTCCGTGCAGGAGGTGGTACATCCTAATCATTGACTCCTTCAAGCAAAATTTGATGGCTTCTTCCAGCAGTTTATCTAAGTTGATGAGATAAATCTTCCACGCTGTAGTACCCTTGAACGAAAGCACAAGAGATACTGAAAGAGATTAGACCCAGTATTCTAAGCTAGTGTCGAGAGTGCAGACATCCTCAAACTAAAAACTATTTTCACTCGCAAACTTTATGATATCGAATTGAAGAATCGGATCGAATGAGAAGTAATCATACTGGTTCAAGGCAAATTAAGCTACTGGCAATGAACGACTACTCGGAGGTGCGGTAGCGGCGCTTCGCCAAGTGCTAACCGCACGCATCGTACGCATGCGACAGCCTATCACAGATAGACGGAGTTGAATATCCTGTTTGAAAATTCCGTTATTAATTATTTCAAGTGGTAGTTTCCAAGTGGTAGTTAATCCTCCAGTGATCGCGCTATGAGCCTAGCGCCGTTGATTTTTTATTTCTTTTCACACAAAACTTTGAGTGAAAAATAAAAATAAAATTGAATTTCTACTTTCAATTATATCAAATGAATTGAGATTTTTTTTTTGAGCCATACTTGCGCCATTGAATTATTACAATCTTTTGAAAACTCGACTCGCCGAAATTTCCCGTGTTTAACCTTAAAATTTCAAAGCTTTCCACCAAATGAAATCGAGTTCTAGATTTATCTAATGACTATTCTTCTCTTAGATCGCTATTTTCTATTCATTGAAGGTTCGAAATTCCCCTGTGAACGAGAAATAAGTGATTTTCTTCAATTTTTTTTTGTCACGGAATCGTAAAATAACGCGACGCCGTTGCGCTCAACGCGCGATCAGATACGTTCGGTGGAGAGGTGCGACCACTCGAGGGTTAATTATAAAACATTTGAAATCTATGTGATTATTTCTATAAATTATTTCTAAAGGGCTGGAAACTGATGTACTAGAGCCATGCGCTCACCCCTTTGTACAAGTGCAATTGCACGGATGCAATAATTATTATTATTATTTAATAATTTTTCTCCAACTTTTTTCTCCGTGTTGATATTGCGGTAGTGGTAACGCACAGAACGTAAGTTCGCTATCATCGCTGGGAAATTAGGTCCAATAGCTTGTTATTTCGGTGTTGTTGTTTTAATTTCAGACCATTCTCTTGTCAGAATATTTTTTTATTTCCATTTTTAACAGTTTTCGTTACAAGAAACTTGCGCCTCACCATCGCCTGAGGGCCTTCAACCTAGTATTTACATTTTATATACAAGATGTTTCAGCAGATTCTTCAGCGGAAGAAGAATAAAGAAAAAATACTCAGCAAAGTGTTCGTATCATACAATTTGGGTAGGAGGAGTAATTAGATGTTTGATTGGATGATTTTCTAATTATCAGAATAAATATATTTCCTGTGGCGTCCTAATATATGGAGGGCCTCCCTACTCTTGTCACGCCGATACGTTTTGTGACGTGAGCTGTTCAATGAGTTAAGACTTTTGGAAATCTCGAGCTGAAATTTTTAATAGAAGTCTCGACTTGATTTGCGGAGTCTTAACTTGAGACTGTTGAGTCTCAAATTGAGATTTCCAAATATTTCAAATAGAGACTATTGGATTTAAGGGTTGGATCGAATTAATAACTTTGTGAATTTAATTTGACTGTGAAGACGCATCTCAATCTTTACTCTAACTCCGGCTGTCGAAGACTAACTCCAGAAAAATAAGGACGAGTATATTGGACCACTTGGAGCGCATTTGCTCTTTGTCCTTTGTTCTATGTTTTGCTCCTACTATTCGTAGTCGCCCCCGTGTGGTCGCCACGTAATATAAACACAGTTTTAAGAACCTCAGTCTGAAGAATTTTATGTGGTGACACTAAAATCTGTCGAGCTGTGCAGAGGTTGACTTTTGAATCTATTTCGTTCTATGAAATCCAACAGAGACTTTCAAAAATATCCATTTGAGATCACAACAGAAAACAAGCTCGAAAAATGCTCAAAAACCAAAACAACAAGTCTCAGAATAAATCTTGTTGTTTTGGGTAATGGGATATGAATAAGTAATAACTCATTTCTCCCTTCCATTAGGATTCAAACGTACTTCATCAATTGCCGATCGAAATCCTTCATAAACCGTCGATATGTATTGAGTGATCCCGTGGTATTTAGATTGGATCATCCGGAAAACTTTGTCCCTGAAACAAAATACATTCATATGAAAACAGGTTTATGTTTATTGATGCCCATCGTCAGAACGTATCAGTAAGGTTCTCTGCCAATTCTTTTGGATACATGGACGGAGAGAGATTTTTGATAAAAATTATCCTACCGTTCCATAAAAGTGTATCATGAGTCATCGTTTCCTCATTTCTATCCTGAAATTTAGTGAAAATTAATATATGATGATCAAATTTTATTCTACGTTAGAGAAATTTTATCCTGACGCATAATAAATTTCATCCTACCGATACAGTAATTTTTAATCTACCGGCACGATAATTTTTATTTTTATCAGGATAAAATTTCTCTAACGTAGAATAAAATTTGATCATCATATATTAATTTTCACTAAATTTCAGGATAGAAATGAGGAAACGATGACTCATGACACATTTATAACGGTAGGATAATTTTTATCAAAAATTTTTCTCCGTGTGAGAATAAGAAATCGACTGCATCGCCGTAGCTTCCCGCAAACAGGAAGCGAGGGTGCAAAGATGAAAGGGCTCATATTTCCAATGCGGATTGACATTACACATGAGAATGTATTGGCTTTTCACGGTCTTCACGTAACGTTCAGTTGTTTCTGATACGATCCTCTAATCAAAGACGCTCGTCCAAGGAATAGCGCCTTTGAGTGATGACAATAGCTTCCCTATCAAGAGGCGAAAAAATGTGAAAAGCTCGAGGGACAGTTTCACACGAGCAATTTTTCCCCATTTTCAGGGAAATAAAGGGGGTAATTGCTTTTGTTTCATTCTAGTATAGCCGTTTTTGCTAATAAATCAGGAATATGCTTCCGAATGGACATGTTTTACGGTGGAAACGAGGAGAACAATCTATGAATCATCGTGACCAAACACCTGCATGCACAAGGGTCTAACATGGACACCTGCATTCTCCGGGCTGTAATTTACGAATAAATATTGCTATTTCCGGCTTTTTTGAAGTCCGCAAGAAGAGAATGATTGAATCAGTTGAAAGAATTGCAACCGAAAAAACAAACTTTACTTCAAGACTTATAATTCCAAATTGAGACTTTAAAAAATTTGAAGTTGAGGCTTTTAACAGTTATAAGTTGAGACTTCTGATAGTCTCAATTTAAAATTGTTAAACGACTCAATTTCAGACTTTTGAAAGTCGCAAATTGAGATTTAGAACTGCCCTCAAAGAAAAATTTCAAGTTGAGTTCCGAAAATCTTTAAAAAAATTTAATTGAAAATTCCAGCGAATTCGTTAGACAATTCTATTGGATTTCTATTGAAATTTGTATTAGGTTTTGGCCGATTCCATTGAAATGTTCAATAGAAAATATTCTATAACAAAAGTCAATAGAATTTGATTTTTCTATAGAACTTATTCTACTGAGAAATTTTTTATAGAATTTCCTCGATCAAATTTTAATTTTTTTGTTCAATTTTCTTGATGAAAAGAAAAGAAGAATAGATATCATTGGCTTCCGGATGTCTTCAAAACTTTCTGTTTAATTTTATTGACGAAAAGAAAAGAAAAATCGAATGAAAAAAGCTTCATTCAATAATATTTCCATTTCCATTTCCTCTGATTTCTATTCTCACAGCACATCAATATTGCTGTCTTGAAAAATATCCTGTGCAATGGTCGTGCCATCTGGTAACGGATGCTGCCACAGACAGTATCATACGTATATGATACTGTCTGTGGCAGCATCCGTTCTCACTTCAATACATGTATTGAAGTGAGAATGGGGGCATTATCTCTTATTCACAAATGATAAATTTTGGATATGCAGGAAGTTTGTGACGCTGTGTGACGAAAGGGGGCGACGGGAATGTTCAGGTGGTGATGTTACACAATATTTTTTGCTTTCGTGCGGAAGCTTTGTAATTGTTCTAATTTAAATTTCGAATTTTTTTTGTTATATCGACTAGCTATGATCCGAAAAGTCCAAAAATGCAATTTTTTCAAACACAAAGATTTTCTTGTTCGCTAATGAACAGACTGAATTAAATCATTTCTTCTTCTCAATCCTAGCCGAGATATCAGACAAGATGTGAGTGAGAATTTACCGTGAATCCGCGGTAAAATTGACCGTGGAGCGTGCGAATAGACACTGCCTAAAAAATTTCCGAACATTTATCGAAAATTTAACAAATGGCTGTCGAATGAAATTCAAAAACTTTTCTGAATTTTAATTAATTAGTTGTTAAATTTTACCAACTGGTTGCTTTCTCTGAGGATCACATGACAACAAGAGCAATTCGCCACTATTTCATTTTTAATCGCCGAAATCACAAACGCAATTTCGTTCTCGCCCCATTTTTCACGAAAAAACAGAGATTTCCCCATGGCTTTAAACTATCCCAAAGGTTCACAAAGGGGAATTCGGGAATGCTGGAATTTAATAAGTTACGAAATATTCAAAGGGCATCACATAAAGATTTAAGCCCCATCACAAGGGGCCATCTGAGCATTACGTAAGCCAATTTTTTGACAGTGTTTTGACCAAGAATTTCCTTGTTTTCATTCATTGGGGAGAAGAACAATTTTTTGACAAAGAAATTCATTCGCCATTCCTCAGTAATTCCACGAGTCAACTCTTCTGACACAGCGTCAACGGTTTCCAATCTCTCTATCTGAAATTCACTTTGCATTTACGACAGCCATAACCATTATTGTTGATGCAGATTTTTTGCATTCTTCACTGCATTTCGGATGGAACATGCAATCCTCCACCCGGCCGTTTAGCATTTGTCAGTATTCTCCCCTCAATAGTCCAGGCGTCAGGGAATTAAATTTCACGGGTGAACGAAAAAAAAGGGATATTCAAGATTTTTCTGCGTGAATCTCCAGATTTTTGTGTCAATAGCAACGAAATACTTTGAAAGTTGTATAAACATAGCTTGAATATTTTGAAGAGTAAATCGGAAATAAATTCTGAGGGAAAGTTGATATGAATAAAAACATTCTAGTTGAGTTTGTGCTCAATCGGCAGTCTAGTCTTATTAATAATAATTAATCTAGAAGTGCAAAAATTACACAGTGTTTACGAAGAAGATTAAAATCTGTAAAAAATCCCACAAGCTCGGAAAAAATAAATAAAAATTCTACGCCCAATAGGAAAATTATCGTCGGTGTCAAACTTTTGTAATAAATAATTTAGGTTGCGACCTGCCTAAAATAGCGTCTTATGTCGACACATTGTTTAAAAGAATAATTGAAGAAAAAATTCGATGGATCTATTTTTTACACTTAAAAACATTAGACTAGACTTGAAGAGAAAAATTATCAATGATAGACCGTTTTTTGCTACTTTTTGAATTCATTTTTCCTCGTTACACTCAACGACTCAACTGGAGTTCATTCATACCATTTTAACCCTCTTACGATAGAGTCCTACCAGCCTCTGTAGATGAACTGAGAGGGGGAACGGCCAATCACACTCGGGCGTTGCGTGTATTAGTGCGCTACGTCACGAACTGGTGCCCCCACTCTCGGCAGACCAGGGACGTAGTGAATAACCTGGGAAGACGCCACCCCTGCGGTCTTCCAAAACAATTAGTCAATTACAAGTTTTTCGCATAGTTATTCTCCCCGGATTATTGAATTGACAAAAGTGTTTGAGTTCTGTTTAATTGAATTGTGACTATGAGTTCCATAAATGAGAAATTTACGGGAAATGGAATATTTTGACGCCTGATAAATCAAAATAGGATAACTGTAACTCGAGTTATTGGAAAAATGAAAAAATAGAAAAATTATAGCTGTAAAATGGGCTATCGAAAAAATCAAAAAAAAATTGGGAGACAGTCGCGGAGAAAATCGCCATCAATTTCCAAGAGGCTGAGGGTCAGCCATTGACCCATTCAGCATGGAATACCTCATATAGAGAAAGTTGAAACTGAATCGATAAATATTTATATTAGAAAATTGTAGTTATTCAATTATAGAGATTCACAAAATCCTACAATTTTCTCTTGTGGCGCTTGGTTGAAGTGTCGCCGGCACTGGGTCCTACTCCCCACTCCCCCAGCGATTCGGTATAACGCGGTAGTGGGGGACCGAGCGCTCTCGTCAAGAGTTAAAGTAATACGAGCACAAATTAAGTTTTGAAGATTAAAATCTGAAATAAATTCCAAACGAATGTTAATATGAATAGAAACATTCTTTCTGAGTTTCTAGTCAATCGCCAGTCCAGTACTATTGATAATAATTGATCTAGAACTGCAAAAATAACGAGTCTTCCGAAGAAATGAAAATTCTGAGGTCAGGAAGAAAATTTAAAAAATCTCCGACTGAGGAAAAATGACTAAAAATTCTGTGCTCAGTATGAAAATCTTTCTTCGGCTTTTTGAATTTATTTTTCCTCGTTACACTTCACGATTCAACTGGAGTTTCCTCGTACTACTTTAACCGACATGTCCAACGGAAGCGGCATTCTCTCGAAAAAAAGCTCTATGTAAAATGAATTCTCCCGAAATGGTCGCCAAAAAACCCCCTGATTTTTTTTCTCTGACAAATAGTTCCCGAGATAAAGCCCCGAAAGGACAACGCTTACAGTGTGATAAGCGTCACGCGTATCCTATGCATCCACTACCTACGGTATCGATCGTATTCATTTCTCCCAACGTTTCTGCCCCTGCTGTCTTCATAGCTGTCCTAAAAATGGCACAAAATGGTGGAGGGTGGGGAGGGAGACAGGTATAAACAGACAATTTAAAAAAAATCTCTGATTCTACCCTGTGTTTCAACAAGTTTCTCCAGTATCTAACGAACAGTGGAGTGAAATGGATCGTCATCATGAACGTTACAAAGCAGTATTTCTTACGTGTGGGAGGTTCATCAATGGGAGAAGCTCCAGTGATCGAATACCGAGGACTGAAGAAACCTGTGGAAGCTGTGAGTATTTTTTTTGCAAAAAAGTCCTTCATTATTTTTCGTCATCGCGGAAGCAGAAAATAGTGACTGAACCCCTCTATTTTATTTCAAGGTTAGGGAGGACCCTGGTGGATGAAATTTTTGTACTGTCACGTTTGTTGATTGTTGACACTCTCTGCAGATACTTCCACACCTCGTGACACTGGGTACGTATTGATTTTACCCATTATTATGTTATGATTAAGCACTTGACTCAAATTTTTTACTCGCACCTCGAACGTTGCAATTAATTTCCGCTCTGATGAGAAATGCATTGGGTATTCGAAATATTCGCGTGTTAATGATGAAAGGAATGTGCTCGGTTTCTCCCTTAGAATTGAAAATTGTTACGTTATTATCTCGCAATCGCCCGGAGGTGCGGAAATTTCGCCGATGCTGCGAGGGGTGGGAATTTTTCTGGGAGGGAATGCTTTACTTATTTAGTTACCTGTTTGTTTGAAGATCGTGGGCGAATTCGTGAATGGTGTAGATGTAATTTGGTTTGAGATCAATAACCTTCATGAGACATATGTCCTCGCAGAGATTGAGTATCGCTCTGTTTGAGATTTTGTAGACGTCGAGGAAATTCTGTAACTGAAAAACGAAATTTCGAGTGTGATCATTTATATTTTTTCTGTGAGATATTTTATATCGAACAGACCACCCTCTAAGCCTCATCTGTTTCCATATAAATAGTGCTGTGGACCGCCGTTTCTTGTATAAATCGAATTACTGATTTTTCCAAAAATATTGTACCGCGGATAAAGGAATTTAAAATTGAGTAGGAGTTATACTTATGCACGAGTAGTGATAGAACCATGGAAATCCCAGTCCTGAAACCGGTCGGTAATGCAGAGTCCCAGTTTATCTGTCTGTCACAACGACTAGACGGAGACAATGGGTCAGTGACACCCATGGTTGAAGGCTGGTCAGCTTCACGTGAAAAAAAAATTCAGGAAAAATGACACGACAAAACGTACAAGTGAGACGAAATGATTTTTCGGGACTTTTTCTTGAATCCGAAGCGAAAAATCAATTTTTCCTCTTGAGTTCTGGAAATTTTGTGACACTCGGTACATCACAATTACGTCAATTTTCAAACCGTAATTTAAAAACTTTTTCTTCTGACGAATGAGCAAAGAAAGGGAATTGACCGGAAATTAGTGGTTCGACCCGTAATGGGTCACGCCATCTAACCCATCCGCTAGTCACGCGCAACCCAGGACTGAGCGAAGCGAGCGACCGGCCTCAGATTTTTTTACAAATTCGACAATTTCTCCTGCAGAAACGAAGGGATTAATTTGCTTTCATCGTAGTGGATACGATTTTGTATGACTATGACTGGAGTAAAATTGCAGCGAAATCGTCTCAGCGGTTGTAGAGTTATTCAAAAATGATTTTTTCGAAATTTTATAACTTTTTTTTCTGACAAATGGGCAAAAAAAGAGAATTAATCGAGCAGTTATTGGCTCGAGCCATAATGGGTTACGCCCCCTCCAACCGACCCCTACCAGTCGCACCCAATTTGGGCGCGAGCGAAGCGAGCGACTGGCTTCTGATCTTTATTTTTCGGATCAGATGCTTTGAACACAATTCATCAGTATTTTCGAAGTTAAACTAAATAAATTTATCAGTTTACCACAAATTAACAATATGAGTATAAAACCTAAACTCCCCATTTTCATATATTATTCAGGGGGCTTATGGCACATTTTGGTATAAATTTCATTCGAACCCTTTTAATTCGCATTTAAAAGTCCCGATTGCAACAGAAAAATCACAGACTGATAATTATGATTATCAACTTACGGTTTTCACATGTGTACAGCATCCTTTTACGTACGTATCAATAAATTCGGAGTTCCACGTGAGTTTACTCAACCCTGGTCTGAGCTCACGGTCCAGAATTTTGAGCAGAGGTTTGAACAGTAATTTTTCTTCATCAGACAAGGCTGGAAAGAAGAATGAAGTAACCCAGTGCAAACCGTTTGTATAATATTGCACCCTGCAAAGAGTATACTGCCTCACAAACGGAAACTGATCATCATTATTATGACAATCATTATTGCTCTGAAAAGAGATCGCTGAACAGTCCTTGAGGATCGAACCGCACCTGGAAGACCGCCCAGTATGCAAAGCGATACACTTTTCCTAATTGCTCTGCGACCGCAGTTTTTTCAACCAGAGTGTACGTTCTACTGCAGTTCAGAATTATTTGACCCCAGTGGATGGAGGGACTGTAGGATTACAGCCTTTCGAATCTGGATAGTTAATAGGAAGACAATATGTCAAGAAGTTGGGATGTTGAGCCCAAATATGATGAACTGCTCTACTCTCTCATGGAAAATGAAGGGAACTACTTTGACTCTGAAGTTTTTATACAGGAAGGATAGCTCAAATAGGAGGAATTGGTATTTGAGCCGCTTCCTCTCTTCTTTCATCGATATGTTGTCCTCAGCCGGAGCCAAATACTCAATGAAATAGATTCTTTTGAACAATATGAACCTTTTCCCGATGTGGAATTTAATTTTGGCGATTCTTTGGATCATATGCCAGGAGCTGGTAAGACTTAAATCGCAGCAGTTATTTTATGATTCACCCTCGAATTTTGACTTTGACGCGACAAGGAAAATGCTCTAACTTCCTACATGACTCACCGGCATGTGGAAGCGATCCACTCCATTAACTTTTTATGTAGGGAACACCCAAAAAGTAATACTTGATTTCAAGATTTCAAAGGTCTCAATTTAATTATTTCATAGCTGTTGAGACTTTTGAATGCTCTAAGTTAAGTCTTTTTACAGAGAGATTTTTCTTTAAGTTGAGTTTTGAAGGTTTTGATTTGAGACTTGAAAGTCTCCATTTGAGGCTTCGAAAAGTCCCTACTTGACCCGTTTGAAAGTCTCGACTTGAGATTTAAAAGTATCAATTTGAAGCTTTTGAAGACTTCGTTTTACGATCATAAGTCTCAAAATAAAGCGTGTTTTTTTGGGCGGAACGTGTCGTTTGGAAGTGTATACTCTTTTCAGGTTGCAATTTTCAGTTAGATTCGGACACTTACCTCGGGTTATTTTGTTGTACGCCGAGATGAGCATGAGAACACTCTCAGAAACGAACTGCAGTGTTGGCCACTTGTCGATTATTATTTCAACGTATACGGGAATCTGGAAACCCAGGTAACGCCAAATACTTGCCTCATAGCATAAATTCAGTACATTGGGATCAAGATTGGGCTCCAGAACGCCAAGCTTATCGATGCTCTGTCGCATCAAGTACTGGTCCAGTCGGCTCTGCGGATTACTATCGATGTCATCCATCCACTGGTGATGGATTCCAACGATCATATCATTGATCGAGCCAAGTAGTACATCGCACTGATGGTACACTTCATCACTAATCGCACAATAACCCAGCCATTCGGCATTTGCCAGAAGGGCCCTCATAGCCTTGAGTCGTTTGGACTTGAAATGCAGATTCAATGCTCTGCCAGAATAATGTGGACAGCTCGAAGGATATTCTGAGCTTTCTCTGAGTAGTTCCTGCTTGACTGTTTGAGATTGTTTCGAGAATGACCGCCAAATCTAAAGAACGAAATTGGTAACAATCCAAGAGTGATGTTTGGGATGGATGATGCAGTCAATGAGGTGAAATGATGTCATGTAGGAACTTACAGATGTGATCATTCCACTGAAATTCGCCATTAAACTGTTCCGATTCATGTACATGCGCAATCCATAAAGGTAAGCCAGAGCTTCTCCGACATGGTTGATGTTTTTGAAGGTGACATTCATCAGATTCTCGATCATAATATCAAGGTCTTTTGTCTTGGCTCGGAACTCAGACATATCGTCATGCCAGGTGACCTCTTGAACGGAGAACATCTTGCGGGAACTGTCGTACACGAGGTGCAGATGCTCCCGGAAGAGTTTCTCAACTTTCATGCAGACTTTCTGGTGTTCCTGACCTTGGGTTCCACCGAAACGGGGCACTGGGATGTTCACTGTTTCATCTAATCTTTTTTTCATTCATTTGAGAATAGAGGTAATATAGAAGTGACATTGACTAATCGTAGGAAGATGATTATTAGATATACAGTCAAGTCCCTAGTACAAATTCTAACACTATGGAAGTGTGACTGGATTTTTATTTTCTGGATCCCGGTGTGTGTGATTTGACGAGTTGAAAACAGGGAAAAGGAGTCCGAAAAAGTACGCCATAACACTTCTAATTTGATGAGAAAAATAATTTGCAACATGAATGATTTATTTAGTCAATTTTTTTTTTTCAACTGAGTTGTCCACTTCATAGGTTAAACATCCTTAATAGTTAACGAATCTCGTTAGGAATGAAAGGATCACTCTATCAGGGCTATTACCTTGCGAAATCAATTGAAGCGCGACAAATTTCATAAAAATCACTGCATCTCCCAAGAAAGCTGTCTATGTCCCGGAATACGTCCTCAACGTTGAGATTCCATGGACGTGACGTCGATGAATCATAAGCGCTGACAAACTTGAACATGACAGAAGACAGTGAAGATTAACACAGAACATTGGATGCGGAGGACCTCAAGAATGAAAAGGATAAGAAATTCCAAAAACACGCGCCCTTTGATATTGAACTACAGAGTGTTCTCGAATAATTACATGACTATTCATGATCCGTCGAGACCAATCGTCTACGGGTCTCTCTGTGTCGACCCGCATCTTTAAAATGCGGGAAAATTCGATCACATCATAAAAGGGGAAAAAGACGGCTGAAAGTAGAAAAAAAACCATTGATATTAAGTCCATTACCTGGAAATAAATTTTCTTATAATATCTGCAAACATCAGTGGCTCGCTCCAGCATTTTCATGCCCCATCGAGTATTTCCAGTCATGAGAATTTTACGAGGATCAATGAATCGATGACATACAAGTATGATCTGATTATTGAGAAGAATGAATAAGTGGGTCATCCTCTCTTGTGTATTGTAAAACGGTGAATTAAGCCAGATAAAATGGAATAAGTGGAGTATCGTCAATATATGTTTTGATATTTCTTCGAGATTGTAACAGTTGTTTAGTCTGTTTGAAGCATCTCTGAGAATTTCCAGAAACATTATGTTGGATTTCGCTTCCTCGGTATCGGCGTTGATTTCTCTGTGCAACATTGTGAACGGTCGAAAGTAAGTTGAATCGGATGTTCTTAAAATATTTACAATCCGATCCACAGCAGGACTCTGCAGTTGATAATTCAACGCGCAGAGATTTTCATCTGTTAGAACGAACATTGAGAAATGGATTTCTTTTAAGATAATCAAATTTTCGTCTTAACTCGTTCTATGGCTCATAAATTATTATTGCAAAAAAAGGTTTATATATGGGTTATTAACATTAATAATGAATACGAATGAATAATGAATACTAGGCTGCTGACGAGAAAGACGGCGTGCGTCTAGCGGGTTCTGCTGCCACGTCAGAGCCCGCTTGAGTTCTCCGACGCAAAAAAAAAAAATCTCAAATTGAGACGTATGATCTCAAATTGAGACTTCCTAAAGTTTTAAATTGAGTTCTGAAACGCTCAATTTACGACCTGAAAATCTCAATTTGACACTTGAAAATCTTAATTTAAATCCTCTGAAAGTATCAAGTTGAGACTTTTGAATGTCTCACATTGAGATTTTAAAGGCTCATGTCAAAACTTCCAGAAGGTTAAAACAGAGATTTTAAAATCTCAAATTGAGGCTTGAATTAAGATCATTGAAATCTCAAAATAAGATTTTTTTCTGAGTGAAAAAGTGCCATTTTCAATCAACGATTTTTCATTGAAAAATGGGGGTTCGAAGGTTATAAAAATTACATTCGAAATTGTTACAACTTTTCGATTTAAAAAAATTGAAAAGAATGCGTGTTCCCTATTGTCAATGATCGCGGCTCCAAATTTATATAATGTCGAACTTATTCCGAAAGTTATTCGCGTTAAGGGATGAAATGACCCAGTTTTTGGGTCGATTTACACCGGAAAAGGATAGATCATCCTCGGATAAGATTGAAATATATCCTATTGGGGCTAATACACCAAAGAAATGATAAATCAACTCAACATTCGGATTATTTTATCCCCAAGATATAATACCTTCAAGGGATAAAGTACATTAACCCATTGAACAGGGGGAGTCTCGACTCGTCTCGATGTGAAAGGAGTGGGGAGCCCCTCATGTATTAGTGCGCCATAAGAAAGACCTTGTTGCGCACGCAGCTACCACACAATGCTGAAGAGTGGGGTACTGTAAGCCCTTCTAATTTAATTTACACTTAGTTTTTCGTGTGAATTCTTTTGTTGGGCACGAATCGCTGAACGAAAAGGAAAAAAATTATTTGGAACTGAATAACCCGACCAGAACTGAAAACTTTTTATCATCAAAACTGGACTGTTTTTAAAACAAATATGGACTGTTTTTTCTTTAAATAAAAACCTTGTGGAAAAAAATGTACGAGTGGCTGTATCTTTGATGCAGATTCGGAATTGTATATATTTATATAGGTACATTAGAAATATTTGGGATTTCGCACCGTCTCGTCATGATAAGAAGTTTTTTATAATTACGATACGATTGAATTGTTATGTATAACCAAAATCCCTAAACAAACGTTCAATATATTTCATTCATAATGAAATCGTCACGTGCGATAATGACCAACTGTCGGTATTTTGCCGACCAGTGTTAAGGATCCCTCAAAATTTTAATTTATTTCTAAAAAAAACTGAAGAATTTTCTAGAAAAATCCAAACTTTTCTAGAAAAGTCTGGAATTTGCTAGAAAAAACCATAACTTTCTAGAAATTCTAGAATGTTCTAGAATTCCGATAGATGGCGCCACTTCCGATAAGGAACCATAAGGACTTTTTCCCTAAATGCCTCCCCATAATGAAAACATAGACGTATCCACATAAAAAAAGAGCCTAAGAGGTGTACAGGTAGAGGCTTGATTAACTTACACCGATAAATCCAAAAGTCGTACTCATCGGTGAGGCACAACAGCTCTTGGCTCATGAATTGCTCATAATCATTGATGGTCAGTCTCATTTGTTTCATCCAATTGACTACGATCCCTTCAAGACGTTGTATGAAGTCCTTACTCACACATGCCTCTTCAATTGTCATGTCCATACCTTCTCGGGGTAAGTACAGCATAGTCAGGCTGTACATTTTGAATCTCAAATCATTGATTTTGTACAGATATTCATGCAGAGCATCACAAAAATCAGCTTTCACGCCTGATAACCGCGGGATATGAGGGTTCAGTTAAGAAATGAATCTATTTTTTCGAAGGGGAAAAATGCCTATTTACGAGTTCCATTTGAGGAATGGCTGAGGAAGTGGGAGTTTTTTTGAATATAAATAAAGTGGAAAGTATAATTGCCTCGATGAAAATCTATAGAATATTGAGCAGCTCGGAGCAAGACAACAAAAATTGAGCGCCGGCACATTTAAACAGTAAATTTTCACTCCAATCGTCCACAAAAGATATTTTCTATTGGAAAACATTTCGCTCCACGATTACTTTTCGTATAGGAAAATTTGCCGAGATTTAGCCGATAATTTTTTTCCAACTTTCCTCTCCGGTTAGTTTCCTATACTTGCGGGAAACTTCGCTAGGTGCTGGAGAGCACCTTGGGGGTTTGTGCCAGTGTTTAGCGTGACCCAGTGGTCGGGACGGGGGCGCAGCTGGTATACACCCCGAAAAGCCAAAAACTTTGGAAATGATTGACAAAGTCATACTGTTATAGTTTGACCCTCTGAGAAAGGTTAAACTGGATTTCCTCGACTTCAGAGTAGTAACAGCGAGAGCTAATTTGGAACATCTATTGTTGGGTGCATTAAAAAACGGTGATCGAAATTTCAGGAACTGCGATCATTTTACTTTTGAGACACGCAAGCGGTCGAAGTTCTTGACATTTTGGTCGTTGGTTTTTAACGTACCCAACAATAAATGAGCTAAACTTGGTGGCTGTAGAAGCGTGCGGCATTTCACACAACTACACAGAGAGAAAGGTTGAATGAAAAGTTCTAGAAAATCGTGGCAATTTTACTATGCGAACGGTAATCGGGGAGCAAAATTGTGGTTTAATAAAAAATAACTTTTGCGGAGGATATCTTACTATTGGTTCGATAAAAAGAACACATTGATGCAAAAATTACTGTTTCCTGTACAGTAAAATCATAATTTTCGATAGCATGAATGGTAAATTTTACAGTTTCGGCGCAAATGTCCTCACGTTTAGTAAATTTTTTCAAGTCAGCGGAGAAAATTTTACCATTTTCACTATTATTCTCGCATTTTTTGCTCTGACATTGGGCGCAAAAGACCAAAAACGTATTCTGCTGAACGATTACATGACTTGCTTGATAATTTTTCTCAAAAGACCCCTTAAGGATATCCAAGTACTTTGACTATTTTTTCTCCTGTGAAATGCTTTTCTACCTTTGTAATCGAACGTCAGAGCTTTCATTTGAGCTCCATTTGACCCTGAGTTTCTGGACATTTTATACTGATTTTATTATTTAAACTTCACAGGACTGAATTTGAATCGCAATATTAAACCGTTAGAAAACATTTCAAAAATCTGAAAAAAAAATTAGAAAGTTTACATTTGCAGGAAGATTAATAAAATAATTTATAAACGATCAATTTTTCATCATAAAAAAACAAAAATCATTTGTTCGGAATCGTAACAAATTTATTAATATTCTGAATTTTATCAGAAATCGATTCTAAAAAAATGAGGTTTCCGAAAGATTAAATAATTTCGATTATTTATTTATAAACAACGAATGTTGAAAAAAAAAAATTCTGTGGAAAATGTAATTTGAATAACGCCGAATATTCATAACCCTTTAAAATTTTTCTCACGCAATTTAATTGACAAATTTAATGATTGAAAATGGTGAAAGATACTTGGATACCCTTAAACTAGTATAACCGCAATTCAAATTTTGAAGATTGAAATGTGAAATGAATTTTAAACGGATATAAATATAAACAGAAACAATCTGGTCAAGTTGTACGCAATGAACACAGTAGGATCGATTTCAGTGTACAATAGCGGCCACAAATACTATAATTTTATTTTTATTCTCATTTTTAAATTCACATATCCGTGAATTTTCATACTGCGGGGCTTTTTGGGATTTGGATTCGTGAACTCTGGGTAACGCTGGATAGGACTAGATGTATACGCCTTACCCTGTTATTTTGAATTTAATTTGATACCTTAATGTACTGAAAATTAAATTTTGCCTTTTGGAGGAAGGAGCCGAATGGAGAGTCTCGTACATTCACATCCATATTAATATGTGAGTTGATTCAAAGAGGTTTTAAATTCATTAGCCGTTGCCCAGCCACAATTTTGGAATTAATTCATTACGGGCCGTGGTTGAAAACTGAAACCGTAGTATCATTGACAATAATTAATTTAAAAATGCCAAAATAATAGTCTTATGAGAAACTGAACGTTTTAACGTTACGGAGAAGATAACACGGAGAGAAATGTTCAGTAAAAATTACGGAACGCTCCGGGAAAATTCCGTGACAGCTCCGTAAAATTTCCTACCACCACATTTCGCTCCGGAATTACGGAAAAGATACGTAATTTTTATTAAATATTTCTCTCCGCATAAAATCTTGCAAACATGTAGAAAAATGAGAAAAAAATGAAAATTCTATGCTCAAGATGACAATTATCGTCAGTGTAATAAATAATTCATGTTTCTGGCTGCCCCGAAGCCACAGCTCTTCCCTTGAATGAAAATAATAGAAAAATATAAAATGGATACTGTCCGGCCACTTGGTCATCCGAAAGCATACAGGCGCCAGCAGGGTATCCACAGTCGTCTGTACATTGGCTTCAACTTTGTCATTATTTGTACCAAATATAATTGTTTCTTGAAAGTTATCATAGTGCAGGACTTGATCACATTTACGAATAAAATATGTCATTTCGTAAATCGGTGTGGATGGGAAGTTCAATTCTGCTTTGAGCACATTTCCTCTGAAATAAATCGACAAGATTCTTTCTCCCGGCAATTCGATGAAGTCTCTCATTATCGCCACTGTCTCGTCACTCCAGTCCTCATTCTCAATCCCTCCTACAGTCGTCAAATTTTTCATGTGATCAATCTGGGAATGAAGTGCGGAGTTGAGGATTCTTCAGGGAATTAATTATGACAAAAAATATTGTCCGTCACACGGCTGAAAACAATTCTCTAGTTCATATGATTGCAGCCAGAGCCGAAGGCGAGGGCGGACTTATATTTGCTAGAAAAGTTGTTTTCCGTACTGACTTTTACTTTTCCCAGTCCAGGGATTGGTACTGACCTTTTCCCGAACTGGCAAAAGTGAAAGTCACTAGGGAAAACTATCGTTCGCGCCTAGTGCCACAGGGGTTTTCGAATCATGTGATTGGCACGCCTCGCCTTCGGCTCGGCGCGCCACCCTCACACTCGGCGAAAACCCCAGTGGCACTCGACGCGAAATATACTATTTCGTCTTATACGAAAGGAGAGAAATTTTTTAGAAAAATTGTTGGGCTAGCATGGGAAAAGAGGCGCAAAGTGATGGCCAGGAAAACATTCCAGTGCCGGTACTAGAAATTTTATTGGGGAAAATGCGAATTTTTCCCCATAATCCCCAGAAATTTTACCAGAAATACCAAGAAATTTTACCTTAATAGCATTAGAATTTTTCACAGCCGGTGGATTGTGACTTTTTCCAGTACTCGTACTAGAATTATTCTAGAAAATTTCTCTCCGTGTACACTGATGAGAAAATAAGTGTTTTTTGAGAAGTACTTCTTTACTTGTCTCAAGAAATTCGTGGCTTGAAAATTACCGAGCGCACAACATCTCCCAATAAGAAACAAAATCTTACGGCAAGAAATTTTGTACTTGTCCGAAAGATGACAACTTCTTCATATCAGGAAAACGAGTTCTCAAATCAATTAATTAGTGGTTTTTGCATTAAAATATTTGAGAATTGACGCTAAAAAACGATTAAACGAATTCATTCAATTTTACTTGAATTGAGAAATCGCTTTCTTGTCATCAAGAAGTTGCCCTCGTCTTTAGGACAAGTACAAAATTACTTGACGAAAGTTTTTATTTTATTAGTGCAAGATATTTTACTCTTGAAAATTTTCAAGTCAGAAGTTTCCTGATATAAGTAGAGACGTTTTTCTCAAAAACCTTTGTTTTTGTCAGTGTAATGACGAAATACACTATTTGCCCGAAAATTGCTTGATATTCTACGAATTCGTGATCAACTAATGATTTTTTTCTCACTATTCGCTGGAGTTCTTCATCATCATAAAGAATTCTGGACACCGAATCCCTGTTATCACCAGCGACTCCCAGAGCATCTGTTGAAAATATGTTTTCTTAAGAATGGAGATTCTGAACGTTGAAAATTGCTTTGTCAATCTCATCTTGTACTCGATGAATGTCTTCACGAAGACACAAAAGGGCGTCTGAGAGGGATTTTTTGGTTTGTTGAAATTCAAATGAATATATTTTTTGCTGTATCTTCCACAAAACCAAAAGTATTCCTACATTGGGAAAATTTTTCCAGAATAATTCATGTGTTAGCACCATAAACGAGTCACAACTTGCACACTTTGAAAAATTATTGTGTAGCACCAGAAAAATTCTTGTGCCACACCGAAAAAATTATTAGGGGCACCATAATTTTTCCAAGACATTGAATTGTGACTCGTTTATGATTCACTTAGCACATGAGTTTTTCTAGAAAAAATTTTTCCGTGTAATTATGACTTGAAGATGAACTCAAAAATCTACTCAGTCATTCAATTCAATTTAAGAACTCCCATGGAATTTATCCTTCACGCCCCAAATTCAATCCGAAAATCTCCAATAAAAATGAAACTAATCGACAACTCTCACATAAACAAACAATATTGTTAAGGAATTGAATGGTTTGAATTATCCTCTTCCCCTCTTTTGTGAAATAATAAAGAGAAAGATGTTCTTTAGTTGTTAGAGACAGACTTGAAGTCTGACGATACTTTCGTTTCATTAATTAATTCGAAGAACTGTCAATAAAAACGCCGCTTTGATTATTCCCCGAATTATTATTTCTTTGAATCCAACAATATAAATACATCGAAAACAGGATAGACTGATATCATTGGCTT